TATCTTCTGTTTATAACGTTTTTACGTAGAAATAGTGTTTTTTTGTTATGATATTATTTTACACATTTAAAAGTAGTTTCATATTATTTAGTTTTAAAGAGGTTTTTACACCATGGTGGGCTGCAGTGTCGCAATTTTTAGGATCCGCTCTAAGAAAACTAAAGATGTAATGTATCACGTTTTCCTAAAAAATCTAAGTTTGAGAGATGTGTGCGGGTACAGAAGTGTAAGAGAGCTGATGTTTTTGATTCCAAAAATGGTAGAGTGTGTAGTAAACATTTTTTGGAGCACCACTTACAAAGGTATTTCAACATGTCACAAGAATGATTGCATTATACGTTAGTACATGTCCTTACTACAGTATTTCAAATTAAACATTATACAGGGTCCACAAAAAGTCAGGTATTTTTTTAACCATTGCAGGCAACGCAACCCAACTTTACATGCAAGTATGAAACTTGTATAACTACTTTTTGAAGCAAATACATTTTGTTATCTCACTGGGAATGGTCCTCAAAGATTCAGAAGGCATTCTTAATTTAGAGAATGATTCGAGTAATACATAAATTTACAATCCCTATTAGAACACAGTACCTATTACAACCCTGACCCCCAAAAAATTCATCCTAACCAAAACAGCAGCAATTTTACAGAATGTCAACTTAGCCTTGTTCAACAATTTCATGGTTGTAATATTAAACTCCCACCGTTTTGATTATGATAAACCTTTTGGGTTTATATTACTGGCTCCCCCTATAGAACCCTTTAATTTAGTGTACTACAATATCTCCTTCTGACTTCTCGTATGGTAGAAAATGTTATGTTTATTTCATTAAATAGAATTTTAGGTATAGTTATTACAGTATTTCTGCCATGTATTTAAAATCTAATTTTATAAACTGTTTCGTCTGTCTCTTGTTTATGATCTAAATCTGACTGTGTTTAATCACTCAACTGAAGGATCAGTTCTTAGATCACATTACAGTTCATATTTAAACCGTTATAAAGAAAGTTGGTCAGCAACACTGGATATTTGAAAGTGAACCCTAGAAAAGATTGAAAAAAAGGTGAAGCTCTTAAAGAAATTACATTTTTCGTTACCATTCGCAGGTGTGCTGGATCCTAAGTTTTAAAATTACACATCAATCGTGAAAATCAGTTAAGTAGGGCAGCTGAAAGGGTTGCCACAAAGAAAACCCTCATCGTATTAAGTATAGATTATTCACCTGAAGTCTGAAACAAACATAATCCTTGAAAGGGAAAAAGTATTTCAATTTTTTTGTTTTACCTTGCTAACAAGTTTTGAACCCTATTGAAATGCACAATTTGCAATAGGATAGGCCTACCCTCGTAATAATTGATTTGTTTAAATTTTTAATCAGTAAAACACTTGAAATAGCAGGCAAGGTGAAAAAAGTATTGACTTGTGAATTCTCTAATTAATATAGTCAATTAATTCTTCATATATCACTGTCACTAAAACTAAAAGTTACAGGAAATCGATAAAGGTAAGTACCACCAGAGTGTTATAGTGATTCTGTGTATAGCCATTTGAGAGACGTGGAAACTTCGGATTTTTCATGACCTAATGTATAAATTTACAAATATAACAAAATTTACTGTTCTCATAAGCTAACAGCTTCATTGTGATTTTTTTTAGTATTTGTAAATAAGTTTAATAGTTTTTATTTGTCCTTGTTAAAAACAATATAGATTAAAAGTAAAAATGCTATTCATCCATATAATCTACTGTTGTAAACATTACTAGTTTCCTATACTGTATATCAAAAAAGGTATTGCTTATGGGAATTATAAGTAAAAGTACAACTTCAGCTTGAGCATACTGTACCCTAAGGGAGTATGTTTTATCTATGACTGTACTCTCTAAAACACTCCCATGTGATGGATTAGCTGAAGACTGATAAGTCATATTCAAGCGTATATTGTTTACTATAAAATTTATTGTAATACAATTAAATTTAATAATGGATAAGTCATAGTTACCATCAGATTGATTTAAAAAAATGTTTCTGGCAAATACATTCTAATAATAATTCAACTAAATACAGCTGTCCAAATTTTGTAAACCATAAAATAATTTATAAATAAAAAACTTTCTAAAAAACTACGTTTTATACGCACTAAAAAGTAGAAAATAATTTATAAATACGTGGAGAGAATAAAGTCATGTAAATTTAAAACAAAAGCGGGGCGCATGCAATAGCTAATTTAGGATTATCTTAACCTATTGAATTATTATTATCTATGGCATGCGCCCCACGTTTTTAGTTTTTAATCTTACAAGAATTTATCCTCTCCACATATTTATAAATATTTTTCTACTTTTCAACCTACTCCCCCACTACCAACAAAAGGAGGAGGTTCTCAATTTGTTTGTGGCAATGTTATTTTTCAGTTTAATGTACGTGTTATGTTAAATCTATTGTATATGGTCTATTATAACCAAAACCTTTTTAACTGTAATCACATGTTGCTACTATTCTCATAATCATAAAACTAGAATCTCTTAAAAGCAAGATAAAGGATATAAGGCTACCCTTATACTATACAGCGCGCTGTGGCAGTTATAGAAAGTATGACTCATCTGTTATCGTTCGATTCGTCCTACCATGGTCCTACAAACATTAATGGTAACCCAATCTAATATAGCCGCCGCAGCGCGCTGTAAAATAAGTGGCCCCGGCATACCAAAGTACCGAATAGTTTCAATACGCTATATATGGAGGTTGGTTATTCAAATTTCCCGTCCTGTAAAAATTGGTCAATTTTATTTTCAATCGTTTTCTGTCAAAATTTGAATTGTAGCCTAGTATCCTTTGTGTCATTCAATATAGTCTTAATGAAGAATAAAGGAATTGCAATAGTTGGTAATTTACATGATCAAGTATATATGAATATGGAGCTATGGGATCGTCGATTGATTTTAAAAACAAGTTCGAGATTCGCTAGCTATTACACCGTGAAATCTGTCTGGAAACGCATAAACACACACTTTTCAACTGGATGTTACCATATTTTGGTGGTTATATCCTAAATAGCAAAAGGGATAGATCAAGTAGTTTGTTAGATATATGTATTATAATAATGTATAATGGTTCAGTCACTCTGAATTATCACTGAATTCTATCACTGAATCCAATGTTGCGAAAATGAAACATCCCACAGTATTCAATCTGTCGTAACTACTATCACTGTAACAGTCAAGTTACGAGTTAGATTTCTCCTTTGCTATTCAACGCAGCATATGCCAAACATGTTATTTACAATTGGGCTATACATGACTCCTCGATCTTCCAGTGGTGTGATGAAGTAGCCTACTAGACGAGTATTACTGAGCGTTGGAAGATTATATCATTATCAGCGAGAATGTTCCACTGCAACCTACGAATGTGTAGACTAATCATAGCTAGTGCAGTATGATAACGCGGAATGGCTTGTTTCTCCGGATTAGTGATAATAAGATTGGTCAAAGTATTTAAGTAACCACTTTGTTCGTTACTTACTTAAAGCTCATTTCAATATACATACTGTGTAAAAAAAAGACAACATTTGATATTACTGTACACACAAGCTCCCAAAAATGACTAATATTACCTATTATACAATTTGGATAGTATATAAGTGAACTACAATATTGTAATTACTCATTTCGCCCAAGTGATATAAAATTATCCTATATTTGACTTAACACGAAGATCAACCGTTACGGAGCTGGGGCATCAAAGTGCTGAGGTTTACACAACAATGTTTCTACCGCCCAAGTTTGTAAATTCTCCTATAGCTAATTAAACCGAATGATTAAAACAGACGGATTAAGGGTACCCGCATAGTGAGGAGGTAGAGGTAGAGGGAACATCGCACGTTGAGGAGGTTTAGCGTGCTGTTTTAACGCATTTAGAGTCAATCTTTTCACTGTGTTGCGAGCAGAAAGGTTGTCTGATTAATCTTTTTACAATGTTAAGTGACAATAGTTATGACAGTGACGACATGTCGTCAGCATGTAAGTGGTGGCTGATCGGTACGCTGTGTAATCGAAAATTCACCACTCATCCCATAAATCAACTACGCCAATATCTGGGAGAATATTACTATCCGTTTTTGCAACTAAAGGAATATCCAGACAAGTTTCGGGAATAGGTGCATGAGGATGTCATCTAAACATTTTCATACATTTGCGCCAATGTGTCACCAAAGCTGGAAATTGTACAAACTACTGCAACCTACATTTTACATGGGGCTCATTACAGAGAAGCACCGCGCGATTGACCGCTCGAAAAGACAAACAAGTTTTCGTTTAGAAGTGGCCGTGCTAGACCTCCTCTGGTAAACCGCTAGGTACACCTCTACCTCGACGTCTTCATTATGCGCGGGCCCATAACATACAATGTATTTGTGTTACATCGAGGTCCGGCGACCCCTACCTACACCTCTACCTCCTCACTATGCGGGTACCTTTGTAATTGTAGGTAGCCTATAGCTGAAATTTGCATAACTTAGTGACTCTCTCCCTCTCTCGATTGTTGGACTTAAAAATGTAAAACTCGTTGACCTAGCATGGCAAATCTATATTTAATATTTCGGAGCAGACAGTTATTGTGGATTTATTCTATTACTTTTAAAATTACTAGTATACAACTTAAAACTATTATATATTAGACTGGGACCTGCCAACTGTACGGAAATTACTGTGAATGTAGTGGTGGGAAAATTCAACCCCACAATGCTGGGGTTAACAGGCGTACATCTTGTGTCGCTTCCTATTCCCCTCAGCAGCCAGTGGCCAGCAGGTGCGGAAGCTGGTTTGTATCATTCCATTGCAATCCCTTTATGTGGAAATTGTTATTTTTGTTGTAGTTTGGCCCTGGCACCATGCACACTTTGGAGTATCGTAAACACTTAACAACTTTTGAAGGCAATTTTTATATACTCTAGAACATGATTAGAGATAAGAAAATAAATCGTTTTCCGTTTTGTTCCAGATTAAAGGCAAGAAAGGATCGAGGAAAATGTCAGACTGTAAAGTTCCAGAAAATAAAAGTGAACCGGAAGCTGGGCCTTCTACTTCACAAACAGAAAATGTTCAACAGAAAGCATTAATTCCTTTTGTGAGCTTGCCAAAAGTTGTTTTGACAAGGCTTGATATCAACAATTTACCAGTTCCAGTCAATACAAAGCCGACTAAGAAACCAGTAAAAAGGATAGACAAGAAAAGTAAACCTAACCCTTCAAAGAGCAATTCCAAACAGACTGTACCTAACAACAAGCATGACATCAGAACTCGAGGTAGACCAAAAAAAAATTACAAGGCGTTGGCAGAATTTGGAACATCATTCATTGAGTCAAATGACAGTAAAGTTAAAACCAAACAGCCCCCCCGAACCATAAAAAAAGAGTCCGATGTGGAAGACAGTCCAGTGAAAAACATACTTAAAAAGACCATGCTCCAAAAAAGGAGCAAAATAGCTCTTCCTCCATCCAACAAAAGGAAATTTCCGCCAATAAAAGTGTCGCCAAAAAAAACTAAAGGAATATCGTTTTCCACTGTACAAACACGTAAGAAAGAGTCGCCACCAAAAGGAACAAACAGCTCGTTTAAAATGGATACTAACGACTCTGAAGATGAATTTTTGTTCGACGAGTTGATTGACGAGATTGTAAATGCGCCCAAGAAAAAGACAGTTCCAGAGAAAACCACCAATATAACTCTGAAACCCAATGCTGGAAATAAACCCCCAACAATTGTCAAAGGCGGAATTGTTAAAAAGAGTAGTTTGCCCCCGGATTTAAAGTCTGTAGCAAGTCCAACTTCACTGAACAGCACCAAACATACTGTAATATCGTTAAACGTCAACCGGAAGTCATCAGTGATGGAAAATGCAATAAAATCGCCAGCTACCGCAGAAACTCCTTCTGCAAGTTTGCCCACAAAGGCTTCTCCTTTCCCAATATCCATTAACTCCCCTAAAGCTGGACCAAAAGATCTAGGTAAGAAAAGGCAAAAAATTGTTGCAGCTTCTGAATCCTCGAATGAGCTACCTCCAAATGAATTCTACTCTCCTGCAAAGCCAACTAAACAAATGGGACCCGCCAAAAAGCCGAAACCCCCAGTTACATCCACCCCCAGACCAAGAGGAAGGCCGAGAATAGGTCCCAAGCAAGTGAACAGGACTTTACCAAGTCCATCGGCCGATGACGAATCTGATGAATATACTGAAGTGGAGACTCTAGAAAATTTGGATCCAGAGGATGAACTGTCATCTAATGTTGCAAATGACACTGTGGTTAATGAAGAGGTCCAAATAATATCAAATCAGACGTCTAAAAGCCCTTCCAAACTTGAAACCGCACCATCTACTGATGATAAAAGTACAAAGGATGGAGACCCTCATCTAGATCTTCTTAGGATATTGACGGATGAAACAGAAAATGCTACAGAAGTCGAGACAAATGTATCCCAAGAGGACAATACAGAACATCCCCACCAATCTAATGACCCGATACAAAATTTAACAGATTCTGATATTTCTAAAAAGCCATTACGCCCTGACGCCGACGCCAACAACGCCTGTGTCGAGGGATCAGGTAATCCATCCGATCTCCAAGACAAAAAATCAACGGTTAAACACGGGAAAGATACTTCGAACCCAGTCACTGAACTGAGTGTACCTAGTAATCCTGTGGAAGAAGAAACCCAATCCATTCGAACTATATATGATCTAATGAATGACGTTTCACTGCAGTATCCGAGTTGGAATCTTCATATAATACCCGAAACCAACGCTTTTTGTATTGCACAAGTCACAAAGGGCCGGCTTGGTCTACCTACGCTAAAGAAATGCATTGAATTGGACCCTGAAACTTACAGTGCGAAAGTTTATATTCACCAATATCATATCAAGAGGTTCGACGGGGTTTACGACAGCGAAGAAGCTATTGTTGCTTTGATAGAAGAGATTCATTCTATTAAGGCGTAAACACCAAAACAAAGAATATCTTTTACCTCAAAGGTATTGTAATAATTTAAGAGACCCTTTAGCTATTTACGAGATTTTTAATCGTCACATTGTAGAAAAAACGTTTATTTACAGTAAAGCATGTTGTAAAGTTGTACTTGTTAGATTTTTTGCACGAGACAAAATCAAGCCTACACTTTTATAGATATGTCATACTTTAGGATCAGGTGTAGACAATTCAACGACGTTAACAAGGCATATGTTTATGTACGGTGTAAATAGAGCTCAATTTGATGTTTCTTTAATTGTTTTCACTACATGTTTAAAGCCATTTAGAGAAAATAAGACGACATAATTATGGAAAAAAGAAACGCCCCCACATTTACCGGACGGAATTAACATCCAAACTGTCTCTAGCTTAATTATACGGATGATAAATCTATAATAATATAGTTATTCTATGGTGGTTGGACTGAGGTGAATTGCTACAGTAGAACTCCAGTTTTCCGAATCGCTTACAGAACGAATTTTATTAATCCCAGTAACTCTTGTTTTTAAAGGCAGAAGCTATGATCTTGGTCAAATCCAAAGGCTCCCTAGCGGTCGTATAGACATCGTCTTTCGCGGTCTCGGAATACATAGTTATTGTTTATGGTTATTGTTGTAAGATCGCGGCCAAATCTTGTGTAGAAGTGATCATCGTCTCCTGCAGTCTTAGAAATTCGTTGGTAACGGGGGTTTATAAGGGAATTTTATATTGTGTAAAAATTGGTTTCCCCATTTTGAACTGTTTTAACTTGTCAATTAACTGATTTTGATTAAATCTGGAAAATTTATTTAGTTCATACACTAATGTTATTTAAATAGGGAGTAAATAGGAGATATTTTAGCGAAATACCATAGGCAAATGAAAATTCGCTTAGTCTGCAACTGCATGTTTCCCACGGCGCGGTGGGGGTATTTTATCATCCAAATGTGATGCAGTCCCAATTCATTCGGATGGTTGGTTGGAGTTCTACTGTAATTGAAAAGTTTTAAATACATTATTTAGCAAACGGTTCAGTGTTTAAATGATTAGCTTGGCATTGTATCATGATTCACGATAAGGCCAAGCTGAAATATTACTGGCAGTTAGCTATGAATAAATATAGGTTTTTGTTCTTATTGGTGACGTTTATGTTTTAAAATTTAAGAACTAACTGATATATTTTGTAAATAAATAATTGAGTTTTTATCAATTGAGGTTTAGTGTAACTTATGTATTCAGTACAGTTTGTTTGAGAAGTTAAAATATGAAGTTAGTCAAATGTTATGAGTTAAAAGTATCTAATATAGCCCACCTAACAAAATTTGTATATAATTATAATATATATTTGAGGTCATCAGTTCTACATTTATTACCTTTACTACTTTTTCTGTGCACATTCCAACATTTCAAACCCGTCATATCTGTTCTAGTAGGCCTATTAAATTTATATTGATCATTTACAATATAATTATATTGTATCTTGAATTCCACTGATAAACATTTTGCGAGAAAACTTTCAAAGGTAATATATGAAAAAGCAAGATATGTGTTTGTATATTCTGATTACTTTATGATATTTATTTTAGGATTACAGCCAGATATGCAATTGTCTTAATCGAAGTGAATGTTGTAAATGGTACGGTAACTTGAGACCGAACCAAATTTAAAGTAGTTTAGAAATCATAACGTTCCTTTGTCCAAAAGTGGTCGCCAGCTCTACCAAAAATGTTTGGTTCTCAAACGCTCGTACAAAAAAAACCTCGTACAAGCACCGCATAGGAACTAAAAATATTTTGCCTAGTCTGTTGTCTTCGATATCTTCTAGAGACAGTTGGCAAAATGTGTTTTTGGGCCATAATGCTGTATATTCTGTTCTTTTAAGGATTCTCCCCACTTTCAGCTGTCAGACGTTTCAAAATCAAAGACGAGGTTGAGTGGATGGAGTGGGAGTCGTTTCCCATATGAGTCCTTGGAGGCTAGCGGCCATCTTGGATAATTTTAAACAGCTACTGAAGAGTTGTTTATCGTTCAAAAATAAACACCAAAGTGATTGCAATTTAAATATATAGTGAACTGTGATATTATAAATGTTCTTTTATAGTTTTGAATTGTTTTCCAAGGGAATCCATGTAAGCTTACGGCCGGATTTGCCCGCCATAAGAGTAATGTTAATTTCTGAAGAGTTATTTACCATCTCAAATTATTTTTAAAACACCAGAGTGATTATAGTTTAACTATCTATTACACCGTGAGATTCAAATTTTCTTTGTAGTTTTTTTAATTGTTTACCGAATTAGAAGGTCTAGGCTCCAAGGACTTTTATACAGCCTGAATTTGTGAACGAAGCATGGACAAAATTTAACATCCTTGAGAGAGGTTTCCATATCACAAGAATCAATAGAACCAGAATAGTGTCACATTTCTAAACTATCTAAACTTTATATAGTGAATAGACACTTCTGATCGCAATAAATTAACGTGGCCGTAATTAGATTTTAAATATTAACGTTTACAAAAGTGTTATGAATGTAAAAAAAGAAATACTGTAACATAGATGAAGATGCAACTTGTCTACTTTAGCCTATATGGAAGTGTTGGCCATTCGTTTACACAGTTGTATAACCAAAGGCTAGATTGAATATGTGACGCATACAATTGTATGAAAACAACTTTGACTTGTCCATGCATGTAAAAATCACAAATAAACGTCTTATGTCTTTGACAAGTTTAAGTGTACACTTGATTTATCCGGTTCACTGTCACAACATAGTCAGGTAATCCGCGTGGCGCTCGCCCAACCCGGCGCTCGGCCCACGCAACCCTTAAAAGTTGGTACCTTACATCCTGGAATTTTACCCCTGACCAGAGCTGACGTCACTATTACGTAAGTCATCTGAGCTTTCTCAAGTTTGTTCGTGGGACAATCGTCTACAACCTGACTGATCACTTATTGCAAACGAAAAAAAACTGGCCACTGATAAATCACTTGTTTGATTAGACCTAGCTTAGCTTTCTTTATTATTTTGTTCTTGGGATGTTTTTAAAAAGAAGTTCTGAGTTCCTTGGGGTAATACAGTAAGTAATCGCATTCTAAGCAAAATCTTAGACAAAAAGTTAGAGTCACCGGAGGTATTCGATCTGGTCACCTCTAGAATAACAGTCTAGTACTCTATCCACTACACCACAAACCCGAACACCAATGGCTGTGGCTGCTGAGGCTGACTAATGTATAGCGTCTTGGTTTCCCCTGTCAGGAACTGATGAGAACCTCTTTAGAGAAGGAGTGGGGGGGGGCGTGACGTCACTCTGCTCTTTAGGGAACACCATTACCGTAACGAGACGATATGATTCCATCGATGTTCGTGACGTAGTTGATAGCGTCTCGGACTCGTGATCTGGAGGTCCCCAGTTCGAATCCCACCCGCGACACTAACTTTTTGTCCAAGGCTTTGCTTAGATTGCGAATCTTTTGTTAGAATTTGAGGCATTTATAATTTTATTTATGAACAGAGCTATTTTTTTAAATAAGTAAACCTTCATTAGATTTTTACTTTAACTTATATATTTTTTATATTATCAGCAAGTTTAGTTGGTTTGGTTAGGTTATGGCTGTTAAATTTTATAACAAATTTTAAAATTAATTTTATAATTAAAAATTAATTATAAGTAAACCTTCATTCGATTTTTATTTTTATATCTTTTATATTATCAGCAAGTTTGGTTGGTTAGGTTAGGTTATGACAGTTTAATTTTATAATTAAAAGTTTTTAAATTAATTTTATAGTTAAAAAGTTAATTTTTTAACTAAAATATTATAAAATAAATTTAAAGATTTTATTAAATCGACGTGAGGGGCTCTCCCACAATCCCCCACTCTTTCGCAGAAAAGGTTCTCATCAGTTTCTGGAACAAGCGGAAAATGAGACGCTAGTCCCACCCAATGATCGTTGCGGTAATGGTGTTGGGTGTTCCCTCAGAGAAGAGAGTGACGTCATGCTATCACAGCCAATGGAATGTCCTCATTTCGTCCGTATTGAAAACCCTCAGCTGAAATATAAATTGTGCAGCCAAGTCATCGTCATTTGAACGATACCCACAGTGGCGTCATTTCACCAAATCCTTGGGGGGGGGGCAAACACCGGAGGGTATGGGGGTATGGAATACCCCCCCAGCAAACAAGGGGGGTTTGAGGGTCCCCCCCCCGGAAATTTGGCAGTTTTGAAACAAAAAGGGGGGTTTAAGCTTATTTTAATTGTCAAAAGCACTTCAAATAAAAAAATTATTAGTAAAATTTATTTAAATTTATGCATAAAGTTAATGAAACTAAGAATTATTGACAACAGACAGAAACACAATAATTTTATGTTGGTAAGTGAGTCATCTGAGAAACGTGATCAATAGTTCCATGACGTATTAATATTATGTTTGTTTATTTTATTTATTTATTTTATTATTATTTATTTTATATATTATTATTTTATTTATTTATTTATTTTACATTTCAACGGACAACTCCATTTTTTCAGTTTTGAACAATAAGAAAGAACTCAAGATACTGACGAACATGCATATAAATGTTTAACCAAAATAAATATGCCTAAATATGAAGTATAGATGGCAATGACAAATGACAAAAAAATTTTGCTTGCAGTTGATGATGATTTTGCAATGTGTTATGTTGTTATTATAATGACTTGTTATGTTATGTTGTTATTAGATTCATGACCAATTTCTCTTGTACATCATTTAGCAATGAATACGGTTGTTCATAGCGTATAGTTTATAGCAGTTTATTTAGGATTTTAAATAAAATACAAGTATTTAAGATCTTAAAAGCAAATCAATTTTATCACCAATAAAATAATTTGATACAAAAGTACAAAAGGTTCTATCTAACTATATTAAATTGGTAGTCTACAATGTTAAAAATAAATTACGTAAAATGTATACACGACATGTATAGTTTTGATGCTTTATTAATTCATAAAAGTATATGACAAAACAATGCTTCTAAAAAATCTAAATCTTTATGTATACATATAAACTAGAAGTAAGTGGTTTATCGTACAACACCAAACAGAAAAAGTAAATGAATAACAAAACTACTAATTTATGTAAAGTCAAAATGTGCTATCTAAGACAACACATCAATAATAATTTTTGTTTCAAATTACTGTACAAGAATATAGGTACAGATTTTTGTCTGCCGTGCTTTTTAGGATTTGACAGGAGAAAATATTTGTATGTTGGCTAGTACAGCATATTTTTTTCTCTAGTCCAGGATCCACCCCTCCCCCCCAAATGACGCCCCTGGACCCACGAACGGTATTCACTCAGGGGAGGTATAGATGAGCTTACGATGACAGCTGTGGGCTTCTCATTAGCTGAGGGAACACCATTACCGTAACAATACAGTTTGTAGCCTTCGGCCTCGGTAGTCTAGTGGTTAGCGAGCCGGGCTGATATGCTGAGAGTCCCGGGTTCGAATCCCGCTGGTGGCATTAACTTTTTGACCAAGATATTTTCATTATCAGCAAGTTTGGTTCGGTTATGACAGTTTTATTTTATTATTAAGTCGTTATAAAATTTTAATTGAGCAATTTATAGTTTTATTTAATGAACAGAATTATTTTTCTATTAATAAACTTTGTTTTTATTATTTCATTACTGTATCAGCAAGTTTGGTTGGTTCGGTTAGGTTATGATAGTAATTTTATAATAAAAAAAATTATAAAATTGAATTTGAGGCATTTATAATTTTATTTTATGAACAGAACTATTTTTGCGATTAGTAAACCTTCATTGCAAAAATGCTCTCTACTACAGCGCTGTTCACGGAGGAATTTTGAACTAATGCCTCAATCGTACCTCCCCTAAGTCAGGCCCATAAACGAACAGAAACGACTCAATTAGTTAGTTATAGTTGTTGTATCATTGACTATACTATTGGATATCAATTATCAATTATTTAAGATGGGGACGCCACTATGAGCGTATTTTAACCCAAATATGAGTGAAGGATACCTAAGGCCGGGGACACACTCATCTTATCTCGCTGAATTTTTTCCACGGGCGTCACCCGTGGGTTTGAGAGATACATTACGGTATATTGGGCAGGCCACACTAGAGTAAAAACGTCCGTGAACGCGGTTGTCAGTCTCACAAACGGAATTGCACGTGTATTCTCTACTAACATTCCACGGGCGTTGCACGTAAAACTAGTCGCGGGGCATTGTGGCATATGGGAGTGAACACACTCATCTTATCTCGCTGAATTTTTTCCACGGACGTTTCTAGTTTTAACCTGACTGATTTAGTACGTGGGGGGGGGGGGAGTCGGAACGGAACACTGACACGGACGATTTTTGTTGCCAGTGTGGCATGCTCTATCAGTCTCACTGGTTTGCCCGAAAAATCTATCTCGTAAGACGAGTGTGGCCACGGTAAAACTGTTTTACGTGCGTCGCACGTGAAAACGGGAAAAAACAGTTTCGCTGGTTAAAAGTTACAAGTGTGGCCCCGGCCTAAATAACTAACATCATTATCGGGTTTGTCTTAATCTCAATTCTCTTTCTCAATCATGCCTCAATTGTCTCAGTCACTCTCACTCACGGTCAGTACTCGGTAGTTACTCACTCACGGTCCCGGTCTAGGTCGGTTCGGTTCGGTCTAGTAAGTTCAGTTGGGAATTGCAATTGGACACGAATTAGGCCTAGGCCCAGGCTGATTTGGTTAGATTGTTACTATTGTTAGATTCAGTGTTGCCACTTTTAGGGTAATTACCCTTTTTTAGGGTAATTTACTGGTCTTAGGGTAAAGTTTAGGGTAATGGTAGATTTAGGGTAATTTTAGGGTAAAACTAAAAGTTAGCATAACAATGGAAATTTTACTAAAAAAATGAAAAAAAAACTTCAAAATTTGGCAAAAAACGTTCATTACATACTATGGCCAAACTATCATATTCGATTTTCGATTCAAATCTGTTTAGATCGATTGCTATGATGAATTTTTCATAATAAGTTACCCTCTTATCAATAGTTGGGAATTATCTGTTTTAGAATGTATTCGATTCTATAACACGTTATAGGCCTAATAAAATATGAAATATTGTTCATTACTGGGTTTGATATTTAATTAAGTGGCTGAATTGAATTAAACTGAATTATTTTACAAATTGTGTCAAGAAATTACTACTATTTATAGATTAAAGCTTTGGTGGTACCGTACTGTATTTTAAAGATATGTTTGTCCAAAAACAGTAGTAATGGGTCGATACATTAAACAAATTTGATAGTTCTTGATTCGATATTCTTCGTTATAAGTTAAGTTACGATAGTTGATAGAGCTGATCAATATCAACATTTTGTTCTTCTCTCAGGTGGTTTTTTAGAATCGAGTATAATTTTACGTAAATTGATTGATATTGGAACTTCATTTAGTATAATAATTCATCTTATGTAGGATTTATATGATTTTAACAATGTTTTATAGCATTAAACGCAAATATTAACATTTAGGGTAATTTTAAGGGTAACTCAAAGTAGATTTAGGGTAATTTTAGCCCGCCTTTAGGGTAAAATCGCAACAACGTGGTGGCAACACTGGTTAGATTAGATAAGTCGTCGGCAGCTCCGGCTGGACTGCTTGAGTGAGTGAGTGTTGACTGTTGAGTCGAGAGTCGAGTGCTTGCTTGACATCACAAGATACATGACATGAAAGTAACTTTATCAACTTAACAGAGAGACAATAATACTTTTGTTTTATTGTTTAAAGCTTTTTAAGATTTGTGATTTACATCGCGTGTGTATTTTATTGCACAATTTATTGATATTGAATATTTGTATGGTTATACAAATATTCATAAGTCTAAACATTGTAATCCACTAAGCCCGACCGGTGATCATAGGCTCGGGCTGTTATCATCTCAGCAAGAGGATTTTGAGCTTTTTTAACTACTACACCAAGCTTTGGTATGGGTGCTCATGTGTCAAGAACTGACTTTGAGTGGACTTACACAGAAGAACCACATGCAAGTAGAAGAAAAGAAATACTTGGTAAGTACCGGTAACTTTAACTTAGTTTGACTTATGTAAACCTAACCTAGGCTTGGGCACAGCAAGGAAACTCCAGATTTTCAAGTGTAGCCTAATTTAATCAACATAATTTAAAATGGGTAGACTTTCATAAGAGGGGCCAAAAACATTATCGATTATTCGATAGGCTACCTATATCAATTATTTCATTCGGTTGGTTAACTTAGGTTAGGTTAACAAACTTAGTAGGGCCTAAGTTAAACCTTTAATTTTTTTTGGGTACACTTCCATACCTGTTGGCACAAACAACCAAATAAGTAATATAGGTTTTTCGATTGTTTGATTCGATATATCGTTTAGGTTATCCTTTCCTAACTAAACTTAACCAAACGATATATCGATCGATATTTGCATTCGGTTGTTTGTGCCAATAGATACCTATGGAACTGTACCCCTTTTTTGGTAAATCTGAACTTTCTGGACTTTTCTGTTTAAGCGTTTTTAAACCATTCCTACTATCTTAATAAACAACAAAATAAGTTTACCTTTAGGCCCTAAAGCATTTTTTTAAGGCGCGGAAACCACTGCAAATTACAAAAATACTTATACGGAACTATTTTCTCAAGTCGCAGAGCAAATAGCTTTTTTTGCTTGCCGAGGAACGAGGAGCGGAGTAATACAGACTGCTGACTACTTACTCTTGGGCTCCTTGAATAGTTTGTGTTACCAGCTGACAATTGATTTAATATTGATTGTTTATTTTAGGTTTTTTATAACATAGAGGATACGCGTCCGGTAACCGGACGTGGATAAGGCGTACGGCAATGACGTCATGGGGTTGCGGGAGCCTGGAACGCCTTTACCACAACAATACAATGACCAGCCATCGGTGTTCGTGGTGTAGTGGATAAGGTGCTCGGCTGATATGCAAGAGGTCCAGGGTTCGAATCCCATTGATGACTTTAACTTTTTGTCGAAGAGTTTTGCATTGAATACCATTTATTCTTAACTGTACATCTTTTATTAGAATTTTTGGCATTAATAATTTTTTTTATAGAGAAAGAATTTCACCTTAATTCGATTTTTTCACTATCAGCAAGTTTGGTTGGTTAGGTTAGGTTATGACAGTAATTGCCGGACGTCTAATCCACGTCCGGTTACCGGACGCGTATCCTCTGCCTTTTTATAAAATGAACCAAACTATTCTAAACTGACCCAACCTAACCAAACGTGCTGTATGGTTACATAAATTGGTTTTACAATCAAATTATTTTAGATCAGTGTTCTTATCAAATCCTTATTTCTAATCAGCTGACAACACAAATAGGTGCCTAAGAGTAAGTAGTCACCGATCTGTATCACTCCGCTACTCGTTCCTCAGCAAGCGATGAGCTCAGCGACTTGAGAAAATAGTTCCATATATTTTCGTAATTTGCACTGGTTTCCGCGCCTTAAAAAATGCTTGAAATGTATTTTTTTCTTTATTTAATAGGAATTGTTTAAAAACGTTTAAAAGAGAAGTCCAGAAAGTTCAGAAATAACTTGCCATTTAAAAAAAGTTAAGTTATCAGCAAGTTTGGCTAAGGTTAGGCTTACAACAGTTTCATTTTTTGATAAAAAAAAAATCGAATGAAGGTTTAAGTTACGGTATCTTACTAATCCAATTGATAACTTATTTAAACACTTTCCGATACCAAAACCCCAGTCTGACAGGCCTATGGGAATTTTCTCAAACGCATTTTGGCAACACTGTTTACTTGGGGGATTCCATTCCCACAATACTTTCCCCCATTTTCCTCCCTTAACTTACCTGTTGATATATTGTTTGTTAATTTTGCGTGGGTGCCGTGACCTTGACAGGTTGTATGTTCATAACAAGCCTGTTTCAGAAGCCCAGTGTTAGTGTATTTTAAAGTAGGGTCTCACAGACCCAGGGTTTCGGTTTGTGTGTTTCTAAGCGAGGTCAATTATTTTCAAATGGGGTCTCACAGACCGAGGGTTTCGGTTAGCGTCAGCCTGGGTAGGGTTTCGGTACTTATTAGTGTTAAATTGATAGTAGCGTAGCCCAGTTAAGAAACTGAACCCTGTTTCTTGTATTAAGTTTTGTATTCAGGGACATATTTTAGAAAAACGTACGTGAGAATGTGATATTAAGATATACGTAAGTACTGCTATGCAGTAGGCATAGGCCTATACTGTTGCCAAGCTTTTAATTGTTATGTAAATTTAACAAGAAAATTAATAAGGAATAATAAAGTTAGTTTGATACTATAATTACTTTCTGTACAGTCTTAACCAGTAAGTTTAGGCTAATTCCAGTATGTTCGCCGCCTCCTTCTTCGGATCCATATTCATCAATGTCAACAATTTCCAAGGAATCAACGTTTTCACGGTGCCGGACACATGCGGATTGGGGAGCAACAAAACATTTTCTTTCTACATCCACAATATATTGTCTTGGCACCCCTTCTACATTTGCATGAAATGTGCCGGAATTTCCAGTCTGATGCAGGGCTCAAAGTGGTTGGCACTGGTACGAGACCAATACTCATCCCCCCTATTCCTTCTGGTCCCTTTGTTGCTGGTTGTTTCTAGGTTAACAACTTGATAACCAATACTGCACCTGAAAATAAACTCTCTTTGGGGAACACCACCTTTACTCTTTTTATTTAGGGGAAACTAAAATTGTTTAAAGTCTTAAAGAAAAACAATGACTTGCAGAAAACTGTTAATGCTTTAAACGACCCTCATGCCGCTCATGCACACCAGGATGAGATTGCTCCCGTACGGGCCATTTTTCTTATGGCAGATAGACTGCATATAGATGCTGTAAACAACATTAGACTAGTTTAAATTACTTAAGATACAGCAATGGATACAGTCAGAATCTTCGGCTTACAAAACTAAATCCAACATTGCCTCACTGCTCCCCACCGAAGCAGCTGCAAGACAACACTGTCTTAGAGTTACTTTCAGGTGCTGTAGAAGTGGTTATCTAGTCAGACCACAAACAACCAGCAACAAAGGGGCCAGCATTAATGGGAATTGAAAAAATAAGTATTGGTCTCATACCAGCATCTTTAATCTAATCTACCAGTGCCAACCACTCTGAGCCCTTCACCGGACTCAAAACTCCAGAACATTTCATGCAAATGTAAAAGGGGTGCCAACACAATAAATTGTGGATGTAAAAAAAGGGCTGTGTTGCTCCTCGGAATCTGCATGTGTACGGCAGTGTGAAAACGTTGATCCCTTGCTTGGAAGATGATGTTGACATTTATGAATATGGATCTGAAGAAGGAGACAGAGAACATACTGTAAGTACATTCTTAGACTGTTCTTAGACTGACAAAAAGCAAGGGTACTTTCCTGTCAAAGGGATCATTCATTATTATCGATATGATTTCTTTCGATATTTTTGTTTTCCTTTATGATCCATACCTTCTGTTTTAATACCTTCAAACACATTTAAATTACAAATTGACAACTGATCTTGTTTAGGCAAAACGTAAATAAGTAAAACAGTTCTAAACTAACCTAACATAACTAACCAAACTTGCTGGGTTTGCTGTATCATTTCAAAATTTCGTTTGATAACAGAAACTAAGGCATGTGAGTAATATGAAACGAATTTGGAAATTCTACAGCAAGTTTGGTTGGTTAGGTAAGGTTAGTTTAGAACATTTTCATTTCAATATAATATTTTTAAATTGTTTCTTGATACTGAGCAATATATATTTACTTATCGTAGATGTCAGCTGACATCTCGTTCATTATCGGATCAAAAATAGAATATCGATATATCGAAAGAAATCAGATCGATAATAATGAATGTTCCCCTTAACAGAAAAGTACCAAAGTAAGTATAGTATCAAACTAACATTATTAGCCTATTCCATACGGTATACATTTATATATTTACTTCACTTGTTAAATGTACACAAAATTTAAATGCTTAGCATTACACTATCTTCCCACTTGTAGGGAAGTTCAGTTCAACACTACAAATTAATAGGTAATGTATTTGTTCTTGGTGGTATCGGTTAGTATTGTTATATATTTATATTGCATGTAACATAAAATTCATCCCATACATTATTAGCCTATGGTTTGATTTTTTGCTACACAATTATCTTTAAAATGACTCAAACCTATGTACCAAATGCAGATAAAAAAAATATATTTTAACATAAAATTATAAATTTTAATTGAATAAATAAATCACCGTAAGAGTTAATAACAGTAAATTATATTGACAAAACAATTTGTATAGCAGTTCTAAAAATCTAAAATATTTCTCAGCTTGTTGTTTGATACATGAAACAAAATTAACATGGAAATGAAGAGGATACAATCTTTCATATAAATTATTTATTTGAGATGGGGATGCCACCTATGAGCGTATTTTTACCTAAATATGAGTAAAGGATGAGTGTAGAATGAAGTGAGATGCCTTGTGTAGCTTTTTTACTGGCCTGTTTCGAATTATAAGCACACTTTAAGGCAATTTATTGACAAAATAAGAGGATATGCTCGAAACGCACAGGTCGGCTGTCGGGCAAAGACTGAGTGCATGGCACAACTTGGCAACCGAGGACAGTTTTTTGAAAGCTGATTGGATGCCTCTAACTTGTCCTCACCCCACCCAACTCGAACTATTAGAGCCTTATTCACACCTAAAGTTCCATCAAAGTATTTTTTTAAACAATTAGTGTTTAAAATGCCTAGTTTTTAGTTTAAAGACATATGAAAAAATGAAATGAAATGAAAAAAATGAAAAATACTGAATGAAAAATACTTTATTCCATCAAAAAGAAAAACACAATAATTGTTACATAGCGTTGTACAGATGGATTATTCCCCACATAGGCACAGCCTGTGTGTGGGGAATGAGCTTTACCAGTAGGTAGTCAAACATACAATGATACAATTAAATAGAAAAATTAATTAATAACTAAAATTATTATTTAACAAACTTTTGGAATAAGGAGAAAGATTGCACATTGAGCTAACACAAATGAAATTAAAAAAAAAACTGTTGGAACCACAAGAGGAAGTAAAGACGAAAACAAAACTACACATACGTAACAACCGCGTACGAATCAACTGAGACTCGGAAACCACACACACACACACCCCGACAGACAACGGCACACACACAACACACTTCAGCTCAGTTGCTCAGTTGCACCAGGACATCAGGCGTTTAATATATCAATCATGTTAGCCTAACAATATTCCCATGTACAGCCGTGCTCCTTGCTACCCGCTTGGTACTATTCTGGTGCCTACTAGACTGTTCCGGTAATGATGAGTCCCTGACAAAAAATCATTCTCAATATTTGGTTTCCTCCCATAGTTTGTGAACCGCTGAGGTGCTGGCATTAACCTTATGTAAAAAGTATTGTTTTTGTAAACATTTTCTAGTTAGAGTTTTGGGTAGAAATGTCCGTCTTTGGTCCTCCTGAACCCCAAAAAGTGGTACCATGAAATTAATGAACACATTGTTGTCTTTTATTGAAGTTATGTTGTCTTATATTTTGCTAATGCCTTGGTTGAACAGCTTACAAGAAGTCATCTTCAGGCATCAAAAGATGTCTAGATCACTTCTTCAGAAGGTCGTTGATTCACATTTAGTTCATAGACACATGAACTTTAAAAAAATAAAACGGTACATTTGAAACGAGCAAAATCAAATAGAAACGACAGGCCTATCGATGTTATTTTTAATAGTCAATAAGGTATAGTACTAACGATCTAAATTTTACTTTACTGTTGTGTTGGTTTTCAGAAAAGTATCCAGAAATCAAGAAACTGTTTGGGTATGATCCCAATTTCAAATGGATTGTGACAGCAATGGTAATAACTCAATTTGCAATGTTCTTTGTAATGAAGGACCAATCGTGGTTAATGATATTCTTGGTGGCTTATTGCTTTGGTGGTGTCATCAACCATTCTCTTATGTTAGGTAAGTACAGATGTTGATGTAGTCTTCTATACTGATGGCATTGCTGGGATTAACATGTAAGCTAATGGCAATATTGTGTTTTGTGCAGGTTCAAATCCATGTCAAATACAAGGCACATTTCCTGGTTATAAAAGTCAAACAAATTAAGAGGAAAGTTTAAAGAAATATTTACATTAGGGATTGAACAATGATTAAGTATATATTTTTTCCAGTTGGTTTATGCTATTTTCATAAAAATTAAATACATTTACTCATTAACCCACATCTGGTGAATTGTGCTATGGAATATTGAGCTAAAGCCAAATGAGACAGTGATGGGATTAAAAAATAGTCAACCCGATGTTTGCAAAGAAGATGAATTGATTTGAATTCACAGTAGTGAAAATCAATGATAAAAGTTAATACGATCTATAATATCTGTAGGTAATTTAACAATTTTGGAATTCTAAGAACATGAATTAATAAGGAGTTAAGTTCATTGAATCTGTGTTTGTTTCATAAACGAGCTGCAGATTTTAAATATTTTTTCAGAGTAATGTTATTTGTGTATGCAGGTGAGGATCATGATAATTAGACAAATTTGCTAATTACAAGGCAAAAATATGGTTCGGATTCCACTATAAACTGTAGGTCCTGTAATATATGCATATTGACTTATAACATTTTATATTTGTATTGGCAACAGTGGTGTAACGGATAATTCAGTTGAAATAATTAATACCGTTGGTTGAACATTAAACCAATCACCGATAGCGTACGATTCCCCGTATTATAAGCTTTTGCTGTCTCATATGATGCTTCTCTTCGGCCTCAGTTGCCCGCCACCTACACCGGCTTCACCATATAACGTTCCTTCACCCTATTAATGTCAACCGGTGGTAATTCGATTACAGTGCAATGCACCTTTTTATTTTCACCCCGGTAGTACAAGTTCCTAAGTAGTGTTAAGAAACTGTGTCAATAGTTCAGTGAGTACAAACATTCCAGGTTCCTTAGTTACCATTGGTTGTATTGGCTATTAAGGGAGCGGAGCGCTCTATCAGTCTGCCGCGCGCTAATGCAAGGTCTTAGGATCTCCGTCATTGTCGGCTTAGTTCTGAGCCAATTGAAAATATATTTATGTTAATTTATTCATTACTTATTTTTGTAGGCTATCGTTTTAATTTTTTGGTAATAGTAAAATTTGAAGTGGGAAGTGACTGGTAAATACTTCAAAATAAACTTTTTCTAAATCATAATACACATACAAATGAATTTTTAGAAGAAAACTAAAACAGTAGAGTCATAAATTTGAATCGAAGGAGTAAGGAACCTTCTTCAGATGAAAAAAATTTTTAAAGTGTGTAATTTGAGAGAACTTAAACGTCTGCAAGCGCTTCTCGCATCGCTGTTCAATGGTGCAACATAGCAACTAAACAGCTGTGTCTAAGGAACATGTTAGCCTTAGTCACTAACAAGACTACAAGATTGTGCCACTCATCATATACTCATCGCCATTCATACTTGGCTTAAAATACCTTCATTCGTATGCTGGCCATTCCAGAATTTAAAGTATTAAAGTATATACTGTATTAGGCGTAGGTAAGTATATAACTTGCGTTTATAATGGACATGTTTGGATGAAAATTAAACAAGCAACTTTTAAATACGTTAAGTTTACAGCTGCAAAGGGTAATTTAACCAGTTTCACTTAAAAAGTGTGTAGTTTTAAATTAGATAGGCTAGTTGATCCTTTACACATAGATCATTAGGCCTAATTAAATCTATTCATGAAACAAATTCTATTTAAATTCCCTGTTATGTTTCAGCCATTCATGAAATTGCTCACAACTTAGCATTTGGGCATTCAAGGCCATTAGCAAACAGGTTGTTGGGAATCTTTGCCAATTTACCGATTGGCTTGCCGTTTTCAGTAACTTTTAAAGGATACCATCTTGAGCATCATCGAGTAAGTATTTAATTTTATTTTTAATTTTTACTTTTGTCAATCAATATTATAAGCTAAACAGTTATTGCCAATTTGATGGAATCGTTAACTATGTCACAAAAGATATAATCTTTATAACTAGTCTATATCTGTTAATGTGCATAACATGGGTAACATGTTCATATCTGTAGGTAAATACTATATATGAAACAATAACAAGTTATAATATTTTTTTAAATGTCCTCAATGCCACTTACGAAACTTCACTTGGGATCACAGATACCGGTAATACATTTTAGCCGATTTCCCTATAGCCTAGGGAAGAAGCTATTACAGTCAGGGGGCATGGAAAGATCTAGACCCGGGACCATTTCACTTGTTCATTTTGATGTTCTCAGAGGCCACTATTCTACCACCATTCTTACAAATTTTTATGTATGGGTGTACGTAAACAATGGAACTCGATCAATTTTGGTCCGTTTTTGATGAAATTTGGCATGAATGTATTGAGCTGAATAAACTTGAATGAGTTTATAAGATCAGGACATAAAAACTAGTTGTTATTAGGATTTTTTATTCAAAATTTTACTTTTAAAACATAAAAATAAAAATTATCAAATTTTTATTACAGCTATTTATTGTGTTGAGCTTGTAGAACAATTCTGTATATATTGAAGCATTGTTGTACAATTAAAGGTTATGGAGGAAATTTAAAAAACAGTAAAAGTCAATCTAACCGAAACCCAGGTTTACCAAAATTGTAATACTGTATATTAAATCAATTGGAAAATAAGATGAGCAACAGAGAATGACGGCCCTGGCGCGTGTAGCTGGCCCGGCATCGGCAATGACATGAGTTTCTGCCCTTCTAAGAATGTCCAACCCCTTTGACTGACCAACCCTTCGCCACCTGCTCATTCCATGCAAACTTTCCACATCACTGTGGCCGGTGATACATTCGTATCAGTGCACAGTACATGTTTGTAACTGATCGTTTACATCTTGCGATTGAAGTGAGTTAAATATAAAACCGTTTCTGCCTGTCACGAGTATAACACTTTTGTAACACACGCGACACGCAGAAACAGTCCTTATTGTACCAATTAGTTTTGTACAAATTGTAAAACCAAAAATAACTACCGGTATCAGTAAATCTTGAAGTTTTACAATTTGTACAATGTTAACGAATGAATCAAACTGCCCAAGACCATTGTGAAGATAAAGTTTAGAAATTAATTGTTGATTATTAAACATAATAAATTTGTGTGTACAGATGTAGATTTTAAGATGACAGTATGTAGACTAATTTAAAAATGACTTTTTTGTAGATCTTTCTGTACTGAAATAACATTTAAAGACCGACCATTGATTAACCGAAAAAATGGGTAATCCGAACAGCTTTATTTTGGTTAAACAGGGTTTTTCAAAACATGTAAAAATTCCCATATTATTCATATGGAGATAAAGAAAACTGCTGTAGTTGCTTTTTTATGGATGTATCAGTTAAATGTAATATCATTCATTTGGGGAATAAATATGACTTTTTTTATGGAAATATTTTAGTTAAAATCCAATCCAGACAATATTAAATTATGTTAGTTTGCTGTGGCGGGGTATTTAACCTAATGTTAGTCTGTAACCGTTCACTTGTTTAGCAATGGCTCATGAAGATGACCATTCTTGTTTAAAATATCCTGGTTTATTTTTGTAAATAAAATATGCTGTGCTAAACCACAAAGCCAAACACCATTCTGTGGTAACGGAAATATCATCTACTCGGATTTAAAACCAAGATTTATCTTAGTTGCTCATTTACTGATGACTAGGCCTGTCACTAAAGGATGATAAGATAAGACTTTCTTTAGAGTCAATAACTGTCACTAAGCAGATTAAACTGAATTTGGTTGACTATTAATAAACTAACATCCTGGCAGTTGTTATTAAAGTTAATTTTGAAATTGTGTCACCCTTATAATTGTTCTTGAATGATGTTGTTTATTGAAGGAGTAAAATGATAATAACAATTTTTTACTTCAATTGTGATGCACATAGGTAGGCCAATTTTAAAATAAAATAAACAGCAGTTTTTTTTTTTATTTTGAGATCCTTCAAATAACTGTAATTACTAGTTCTAGACAACTTTTGAGACTGTCTTAAATTTGTTCTACAATTCTAATTTTTTTAAAGTTTTTTTTAAGTTGAAGACCAGCAAGAAATAAGACTGTCCAGTATAGAGGGATATCAGTATCTCTGAACAAATCCCATATCGAGAATAGACTTTTATAAAATCCTGAGCTAATTTCAGTGTCACACAGAGATAATTGGATTTAACACAGAGAGCTTTCAAACAAATTAATAATTAATAAATAGTAGAGTCACAAAATTGGTTATTTTAGTTAATATTATAAACTAGCCTTAGCTAGATCAGGTAAGCCTGAGAGAAAAAGGCATAGGTAGTCAAACCTATTCATGTCTTCAAGTTTGTCATCCTTTGAACCACAGATTCTTTTTATATTTCGAAGATTGAAGCAATACACGTTCTCTCAGCCACATTTCTCTGTTCGCATCAGTAAGACGATGTTGTAGAAAGGCTGGTATATATGTAAATATTTTTATAACATGTTGACTAATTGTAACATATACAGTGCAGCTTACAATGTTGCATGTTTTTTCCTTTAACAAGAAGAAAATTGCAGGTGTCTAAATCTAGATAATTAAACTATTTAGTTAATTACAAAGAAAAATTGTGGTTCGGATTCCACTATAAAACTGTAGGTCCCTTAGTTGGCTGTATGGGCTATTAATTAACAGCTGTGTCTAAGGAAAATGTTAGACTAACAAGACTAAAAATTGCTTCACTCATATTTGGGTTAAATTGACAGTCACCCACGCTTGTAATCATTTTGGATTTTACTGCAGGTCGGATGATCCCAACTCTACTGTAGTTTAAAAATCCATTTTTGAGAATTTCATCAAACGTAAGCTATAAATGTTTTACTGTAGTTAATGTTTTTAGTACCAAGGAGATGAGAAGCTTGATACAGACATACCAACCTACGTGGAGGCTAAGCTGTTCTGTACGACGCTGGGCAAGTTCATGTGGGTCGTGCTGCAGCCGCTGTTCTACGCGTTCAGGCCACTTTTTACATATCCAAAGTCACCAACGCCTCTGGAGATCATCAATACTGCCATTCAACTCGTGTTTAATGCTTTGGTTGTTTATTACTTTGGTAAGTAATTACCTACTCTGTGATAGTTATAGTTATAGTCTCTGAGATCACACACTAGTTTAAGGCAAAGTTACGATGGACACTTAAGTTGCAGTTTTCATCACTGCTCAAGTACTAAATTTACAACTGGTAATCCTCACTTTATCCAGTACATATGACTGCACAATTTCACTTATACACAATAGAGAAAAATTAAACTAGTTTAATTTGAGTTTCTCAAAATTTGTGCATGTAAGTGCAGTGCTGTGTTTAGCCAGAAAAACTAACTGTTCCTACAACTGCTAGTTTGATATAGGAGTCGCCAGAATTTTACCCCCTGAGCAAAGCTGACGTAGTATTTATATGACGTAGTAACCTGAGCGCTCTAAAGTTTGTTCGTGGGCGGAATTGGGAGTCTAATGAAAATTTACAGAGCGTGATAAATTAGATAAGTAATAAAACCAGAATTTTACCTCCTGTCCATATAACTAGCTTTAGGCTACCTGTAGATATATGGCCCGGATTTTTACCCTGGGACTTTTGCCCCTGTGCAGATATAAAAATTAGTGAGAAAAATTAATTTTCTGATTTCAGTTTTGATTGAATATTAAACATTTTATTATTAGGTGTTTTAATTTATTTGTAATCTCACTTAAGTAAACAGTCAGGTTTTGCTGTTTAATTTTGATATTCAAGTTTCGGGATTCGACATTTGGGACAAACTGTGTTAATATGCATGTTTTTGTAAACAAGGTCTCTCTTCCTTTCCGAGCACTGCATATAAATAAGTATGACAGTTGTTTTGTTTTTTGCCACAGGAGGTAGAGTGTTAGCATACATGTTTGCTGGTTCTCTGATGGCAATGGGTCTACATCCCGTGGCGGGTCACTTCATTTCCGAGCACTACATGTTCAAGAAAGGCTTTGAAACCTACTCCTACTATGGGCCTCTGAATAAGATCACCTTCAATGTAGGCTACCACAATGAACATCACGACTTTCCTTATGTACCTGGCTCTAGACTGCCTGAGGTATGTAGCGACTCAGATTTGTTCTTATTAAAAGGATTGTTAATAAATAACGTCTCCAAAGAACTCCTGTCACTACCAAGGAAGCTGGTTAAACTCTGATGTCAGTGTTGTGTTCTTAACTCCTTCCATCACTATGCTCGCTGATCTCAACCCATCTGCGATAGTAATCTTGTTTTGGCAGCCAATAACAATGTGATGGAAAATAGACACTCCTGCCTGAGTACTATTTACATTCTGTTTATGTCTGTGTGATATGAAAAGGTTAATAGTACTGGGTGAAATTAAGAAAATGTTACTGGTGTCAGTCAGTTAATCAACAATTTAAAAAAGTTTGCACGGGCCTTATGGGTTGCCATGTTGGTGACGAAGTATAACAGGAAATCAAAACAAATAGAAGAAATTCCAATCACGTCTTATTTTTTGGGGTGAAAAGTCTGTACCGGTACATTACATATTTTTGGTTGAGTTTTCGACCACTGAAAGACCTCTAGTTTAAATTATTGCGCACCCCACTAAGATGTTTTATTGATAAACCCTACAGATTCAGACATCCGATGAATGGCTGTAGTTTTCCTATCAGTTCCTCCTCAGGAAGGTATCTACCTCTTACCAAATTCCTTATATGCCTGGATGTCCAGGTACCCAGAAAAGTGTAAGATCATTCCTCATACCCACTACAGACACAGAAGCAAGGCAGTCCCACACGAGCTGGGAATGAAAATGCCGTTTTGTCTTCCATAAATTTGGTAAATAATGCCATTCAGTCCTGAGTTATCTTTTTTGACGTATCATTTTAAAATAGCTCTTCCAGCCTTGCTATTATACTATTACAAAATAATAAATAATTAAACTTGTAAATTGTTAACTGAATATCTATTTTTTTTAATTAAGGGCCAGGGCCAAAAATTCCATTTTCAGGATCCTATTACCTACTTGTTCGGTTTACTATGCAAGACAAACTACTTAATACCTGTTGCCCCTCCCAGTATTAGTACACCATTCTAAAGAACGTAAGTTTGGGCTTATTGCATTTTTATGTTTTGTGATAAGGATCTAAAAAAAAATAAACTGCAACTTTTATGCTGACTAAAAAAGGTATTCAAGAACTATTTGATGATGCATTAGCATGTTGGGAGTCTATTGATCAAGGAACTTTTGTTGCTATTAATGTTGTATGCTCTGACCCCAACACGTAGTGCCTATTGATTTACCATTCAGTGTTCTAGATAATCTTTTAATCATTCACTGTTATATTTTATTATTATAGTGTATCAAATAATTAATTAATAGTTCCGGGGGACCGAGCCTTGTTTGATCAGACACATTTTATTACAGTAGAACCTTGATAACAAGACTCTCACAGGGATCATAAAAAAGACTTGTCATCAAGGTTGACTTCTTATCGAGGTTTGCAATAACATGTGATTAGGGGTAAAATAATTTCAAGGTGATTTGAAAATGACCCTTGTTATCAAGGGTGACTTGTTATCGAGGGTCTTCTTATCGAGGTTCTACTGTATTTACAAAAATAGTTTTATTACAAACCAAAATCATTTAATCGCTGAGATAATATCAACTGTGTAATGTGTGTGTCTAATTACAGTACACCCATACCATTAAAAAACTCACCTACCCGAAATAATGTAAATTAAACTCCGTCTATTATTTTCTGGATTTAATTTAGATTGATTTAATTTAGAAAATTCACCTAGGCCTACAGTGAAATATCGAAAGGATCAGAAAGATATTTGTGTTATTATTTAACTAACTTTTGAAGAATAGCTTATTATATTTTTGTTTTATTTCGAGCAACTGAGGAGTATTCAAACTCCTAGAATTTGACTATAAGAAAAGTAAAACTCATCCTTAATCATTAACCTTAACCGTATCATCATTCCTCACATCTTAGCTTGAATTGAATCTGGGTTTCTAAATATGCATCCAACAAATAAATTACCTAAAAAAGTTAATAGCAGCAAAATAAATTGCAGGTGAAAAGGATAGCAGCTGAATATTACGACAACCTTCCGCAACACCACTCGTGGACGGCTGTTCTCTATGACTTCATCACAGACCCGGACATCGGCCCTTACGCCAGGATCAGACGAAAACATCGAGGTCTCTCCTCATGAGGTTGCGATTGCCAACCTTACACACATAAATGTTGCTAGTCCCTAGTTTTGTATGGCGTACACATATTTTAAAATTTTAAGTGTTTATGTGTACGACAATTGGTACACATCTTTAGTAAATTTTATTTATTTTATATTTAGTGCGCTTTGCTTATTTATATTGTAATATTAATTTATATCGAATAAGATATGTATTGAAGTAAGATATGGCATTTAGTGTGTGGGATGTTTGGAGAAGTGAGTTTTTTTATGGGGATAATGTTTGGTGCAGACGGGCTTGATTAATCTGTATGTTTGTTAGCTGGAATTTTGTACTTGTCTGAGGTTATTAATAATTATTTATAATAGCTACGTAACTCTGTAAATCTTCAGCTTTTTATCGTTAACAGGTTGTTGGGTTGGTCGAATTGATTACATACATTTTTTTATGACATTAAACAGACTCCCAGTGTTTACAAAATGTAGACCCACACATTAAGTCGAAAATATTTTCTTTTTTGTTCCTTTTCTAAAGCATTTTGTTCAACAAGATCGTTGTGATAAAATTTGTAACAATGTTTTTTATGACCTTTTTGGCATAATTCCTCAAACTTACTTATTTATATATCTGTCTCGGTGAATAAACATTCAGCTTAAAAGAGTTTGTCTGTACAACAAGAGTATTCTTCAATAATTATATTGTACAAACTAATATAATTTATTTGTATTCCTATTAGTTTTTGCTTATGTTGTAGACAACAAAGCATTTAAATAACAAATTGTATTAATGAACAAAATATGTTATCTTTTAGTAGTACAAATTAAATAGTCCACCTATTTAAACTCCTAGTTATCCTAAACAATATTTTTTTAATAAAGCAGTTAAGCACTGAACTGGGTATTATATCTGAAAATAACACTTACCAAAAAGAGGTTGCGGCCCCTTTTAACTTTGTATTTGCAAGCTCGCATAAGCCTTGGGCCTGTGTTTGGAATGTATCTAGCAAAGCAAGGGGTGAGCCTTGTACAACCGTACAGATAAAATTTAGTGGTCGGTACCATCACTGTCGCAATTGGAAGTCCATCACGCTACCAACTGAGCCACCGACTCACCAAACTGGCTCTATTTTATAGTTTAACTACTTCAATCGTGCCATTGGTTTGTAAGGTTGGTAAGGTGAGGGTCCAAACAGTGTTATATGTTATCAAGTTCTGCCAACAGCTCTATACTAATTAATTGTCTTGAACTACAATTTTTATACAGTTTTAAGTTTTCCTTTTTCCACTTTTCGTATTTTTTACTTTGACATATTCCACCCGAGAACAGTACAAAATGGTTTCCACTGGTACGAATCCCGCTGAAAAGTCCTCCCTCCAGTTATTGATTATAGCTTAGTAGTGAATAAGATATTGTGTTAAGTTTTTACAATTAAAAGTATTTAAAGTAATTTATGAATGACAATTATTTAAAATTAGTAAAATAATAATAATCTAAAGGGCTTTTAAGAGAACTTGATTTATTGATTCAAAAAAGTATGGATGTGTTTGTTTAAAAGATATTTTTTGAAAGTTTGAAAATGGTTATAGTTTGTGTGCTTCTATAACAAAAAACATACACCCATATTGGAGTAAACATATAATTTCTGCTGATGATTATGTTAATGTTCATACATGTTTTTGCTGAATGTTGATTACACTCTCAAGTAAAATAATCATAGTTTCATAAGTTTTGATATCCAATTACAAATTTAAGGATTCGTTTAAAATTTAATAAACAGTATTGCATTACCATACATAAAACATACGTGTCGCTTAGTCTATGACAGTACATTCTATTTTGTATATCACAAAACTGTACTTGAACTCGAGAATAAATAAATTCTTAGGCCTTTCCTTAACTTTTAATAGTAATTTTATTAGCGTACAAATTTGTTTATCTAAAAATTATATTATAATAGAAAACAAAAAAAAAGATTAAATTTCATAGCTAACCCCGAAAATTGGTGGGAGGTTATGTAATGATTGGGAGTAAACAGGAGATTTGAAACATCAAAATAATCCAAAACTTTATGACTCTACTAAATGTACAGATAGAACTGTATTTTATTTAGGCCTATACAAATAATATTTATTGTATTTATTTACTCAGGGTTATCTTATTTCTTTGAATAACTTTTTGAAGGTTTAATATTATTTTAACTATACTAATTCTAGGTGGAAACTTTCTAAGCCCAATAGGATATTGTTTGCGTTCCTCAACAATTTTGTTGGTCCAAACTATGCTTGGACAATTCCTTATGACTTTAGGGTCCAAGTTGTTGATATTATACATTGTACACTGTTTACAAATTGTTTTCTTCATCCATAATGCTGCTTGTTTATTCTCAAAGGTGGATTAATTGTGGATTATTTATTGATATTGCTTTCATAAAAAGGCTCTTAATAAATATTTTACTTTTATGAATACTTTTTTTACCCTCTGCCCACTGTTAAGCATTTCAATAGCTTTCTTTTGTATATTCAAGGAAATATATAAATAAAAAAAAGTAAAATCCAATCAGGCAAATAAAGATTTTCTTGGACTACAAGTCTGTGCGGCGGGGGTATTTTGTACCTATTTGACTTGGGTAATGCAAGATTTGTTAATCTAGCCCAATAAAAGACTTATTGGCTGTAATTTTCAGTAATTGGTAGTAGGTCTATGCTTCATTTACCTTGGCGTGTACATCTAGTTGATGCTCCGTATCATTAAGACTACTGTTCAAGTAGTTTTTCATCCTCTCCAACTGTTTCACTAGTTTTACTGCACTGTAACAAGTTTTACATTGATATTATGATGTGCTCTTTGTGTATTAGCTTTCATTGCACATGGGGAAACTTGTTGGGATATAAGTGTTGTAAGGTTATGGAAAAATAGTGGATTTTTTTGGTTTTTTTTTACAATAACCTAGATGACAATTCAAATCTGTTTGCATTTTAAATTTCTTAGAAACACTGCTAATTTATTTATTTATTTCCAATTGAAAAGTAAATTATATTTAAATTATAAATGTAGTTCAGTATAAAAACTAATATTTTGAAACTTTCAAATTGTGACACAAAACCATGTCTTTGAGTATCAAGAGTGTTTATGTACAGTTTTTAATAAATATTTTGTCTAGTCTTTCTATTGTTCAGTACTACATTTCAATGTATTGCAAGAGTAGATTTATCATTGAAATTCAATGGTTTCAAATAAAAACATTTTATGTAAGGAATAATTTATTACCGTGAGGTGGGACGGTAAGACTAACGGGAGGAGGTAAACTGCTCCCCCTTGGCCAGTGAGGCCGTGGTGTGAAATTTTTGCCTTTACTGTACTCTTTCTTACCTGCCCTCCTGCCCTAGATGTGCTTTGTGAAACCATAGCCAGGGTGTCCACATTCTGGAAAGTCAGGGATAGTCATGGAAAGTCATGGAAAAAAATGTTGGTCATTGAAAGTCAGGGAAATAGGCAAGAAGTCATGGAAAGTCATGGAAATTTCCAATTATGGATGGATTTGAGGGGACCATTCAATGCTCTAGTCAGCCGTAACCCGGACTGTTGTAGCATTTTTCAGGATTTTTCACAAATGTTCGACAATTCAATTTATTACTGTTGTATTATTTTATGAGTTTTCGGTTTGTTTTAGTTCATTTTTGTACCTAAAGTACTCCATTGTTATCTGTTATTATATATTTCAGTATTTTCTGCAAAATAATATGTCCAGGCAGTATTATTTGTGTGTGTATGTTATATTATAATTTGCGTGTAAAGTTTGTGAGTCATGGAAATCAATGGTAAATGGTCATGGATAGTCATGGAAAGTCATGGAAATTAATGACAAATCTTTTGTGGACACCCTGATAGCGTTTATGTGAATATTTTGTACAATTAATGTTTTCTGAGGTCAACTACTAGGTCTGAGGGTTAGGTTAGGTTAGGAATACCAATGGTTGCATTGGATCATCGGCTTTGATAACACACTATTTCAGTAATGGTACTACTTCAAGCGGTGTTTAATTTTTCCTACAGATAATTTGTCGCATAGTGTTTTGATAATCAAACGGTTTGCTGTAATTTATTTAAATTAAAATATGTTACTACAAATTATTACTTCCAGTTGATTACACAATTTTAATCTACCTAGTCTGAATCTCAATTGTTCAGTGAAAATAAATCAAATGTATACAGCACAAAGGGTCAGATGAGAAAGAGTACAGTCAAAGCAAAAACTTCGCACCGCAGCCTCGCTGGCGCACCAGCCAAGGTGGAACAGTTTACCTACACCTGAGTACATAATATAAATTGAGTTCTTTGTTTTGATTAAATTGGTCATGAATCGGGTAATAGTAATCTGTTATATCTAAAGAAAAGTTAGAGTAAAAATCCAATAACACTATTTAATGGAAATTCACTAAATGTAGGTTTGCAGCGCCAGGGTATTATTTAAGTTTTGTAGTTTTAGCTTTTAGCGAATTTCCCATATAGGGAATATTAGAGAATTTCCCATATAGGGAATAAGCTATTACCGTTGTATACATACATAGCTTCAGACCTACAAAAATACCAAATTTATCAGTCTAAAACATCAGTCTTACTAGTTAAGTATCAAGTAACATTTTGTCAGACTTGTATTATTTTTAGAATGATTTTGGAGCGACTTGTTTTAGCTATGTTTACAGTAGTAAAACATATCTCACACTGCTTTCACTTAACAAAACTTCTCACCCTTTGCCATGTCAAAACGAAAAATTATAAAACAGCAATATTTACATGCAAAGAATGAATAAGAACGCCTTCGTGAAGGAAACGCGACAACAACGCGCTCCTGTATTGCGGGTATTGCATTGGCTTTCTGCAGGTGTTTTTCTTGTATGGATACTGACTCTCCCATGAACCGAATCGTTTTTTGACCACCACTGAATCGAATCGTAATTTCGATGCATTGCACACCCCTAAAATCTAACTAGGTTTAGGGAATATTTCAGTGGAAATCCATCAGGAAAATTAAAATGCGCTTAGTCTGCAGGTGTGATGCAGTTGGGAGCTTTAGCTCAACTTACTTATCATTATATATGATTTGTTTTAGTGAGTACTACGACTAACCGCTGTACTGTCCTGATAATTATATCAATTCGTTAATACCAAGACAAGAATGTACGTGGTTCGGATCGGGGAATCGGATTCCACTATAACTGTAGGTCCCTAAGTTGTCATTAGCTGTATGGGCTATTAATTAACCGCTGTGTCTAAGGAATATGTCGGCCTTAGTCACATCCAAGATTGCGCCACTCATCCTTCACTCATGTTTGGATTAAAATACACACCTAGTGGCGTCCCCCTCTTAAATTATAATTGATAATTATTGAGTAACTAGGATATTTTATAGGGAAAAATAACAACAGTTGCAATAACTTTTGAACCGTACCAATTTTTACAGTGATAGTTAGACTATTTTGTTTAGAATTATAAGGACCATAACACAATATTCATTTTTATAAAAAAACTTCTCCTGAAATCAGATTTTTGTTATTTTATGGGTTATTTATGAGAAAATAACATAAGTTACAATAACTTTTGAACCTTAATTTTTACAGAAATGGGATTTGTACCATTTTGTTCAAAAGTTAAAGGACCATAACATACTAATTTTAAACAAAACTGGTTTTTTCTATAATCCGATTTTTTTATAACATACTAATTTTAATCGAAACCGGATTATTTCTAAAATCCGATTTTTTGTTATTTGATGGAGTTTTTATGAGAAAATAACACAAGTTACAATAACTTTGGAACTGTAATTTTTACGGAAATTGGGTTATACCATTCTGTTCAGAATTTAAAGGACTATATAACATACTAAATCTTTATCAAAACCGTTCGGGCCATTCATTTTTGAGAAAATCAGATTGGAGAAATCTTGATGCTAGTGCAACATAAATTTTAGTCCCACACGTAAATTAATCGCACATTGGTAGTGAAACGAGATTTTCACTCTGAGTAGCCCGACGTTGTTCGCTGTCCTCACGTCACGCTCGTGGTGACGTCACGGGTGGGGAGCGGGACTTGCTACATCAAAGACGTGAGCCAGCCCCCTGTTTGTGTTATTGTGTATTGTGTGGTAGTCAAGTCACTGATAAGTGATAACCAGGGTTTGTCACTTGTTATATAGTCGGTGTCAGTAGTATATTTATTTAAGATAAATTGTAACAATCTACTTGTGTAACTACCGTGGTTATTAGTATTAATATTTTTCTTTACATAATTTACTTTCACAATTGTGTTTTAAAAAACTTGTAGATAACTGTGTGAATCGGGTGATACATTATGGTTATGCAATATTCATAAGTCCGCGCGAATTCGCAAGCACACATATATATTTAGCAAGAGGGTTTTGTGCTTTTTTAACCTAAGACTTTGTAAGCTGTGATGGGTGGCCAAGTGTCGAGAACAGACTTTGAATGGACTTACACAGAAGAACCTCATGCAAGTAGAAGGAAGGAAATTCTAAGTAAGTATGGCTTTTATCTAATATAAACATAACCTGATGGTTTGGTTACAGGGGTAATCCAAGCAAGGGTCAGTCGTAAAATATTTGAGCGAAAGTGGTCTGAAGGGTCCCCGTTTCTAAATAACGCGCCGCCCTCTGAGAGGACTATAACTATAATACAGTCAGTGCCGGATTTACCACTAGGCCGATTAGGCCGCGGCCTAGGGCCGCAGAGCAAAAGGGGGCCGCAGAGGATTGGGAAAAAACATTTGTTTAGATAAAATAAAATAAAAAAAAAATTAATTAAACCACCAGTTACCACGATCACAGGTGACCATAATGATGTCTCCGTGGACCGAGAGAGATGTTCACGATTATGCCGCGGCCGCGGGTGACGGGGATGTGTCCTTAATGATCGCAGCCCGCAGGAGACGTTCGCGATTTAGCCGCGGCCGCGGGTGACGGGGATGTGTCCTTATGATCGCAGCCCGAAGGAGACGTTCGCGATTTAGCCGCGGCCGCGGGTGATGGGGATGAAATGAAATGAAATATTATTTATTTATACAGGCAAAAGTTAGGGCCACATGGCCCTTTCTTACACTTAACCTGTCATAAATATAACACATATATTTTAACAATTACATTAATATACAACAAAGACAAAATCTAAATCATGGATACAGAAACATTAACAAAAGAAAATAACTTACATTTTAAACTGTACAAAAATAATCTTCCTGTCTCCCTCTCTCTCTCTCTCTCTCTCTCTCTCACACACACACACACACACACACCTAGCACATCTGTCAGTGACCAACCAGCGTACAAGCCCCTAGGACAAACCAACCATGGCCATACGTTCAAAATACATATGTCCATATGTGTAGCCCTACTATGTGTAGTCCATATAGTCAGTGTGAGCCCAAAATACATATGGGATGTGTCCTTAATGATCGCAGCCCGCAGGAGACGTTCGCGATTTAGCCGCGGCCGCGGGTGATGGGGATGTGTCCTTAATGATCGCAGCCCGCAGGAGACGTTCACGATTTAGCCGCGGCCGCGGGTGACGGGGATGTGTCCTTATGATCGCAGCCCGAAGGAGACGTTCACGATTTAGCCGCGGCCGCGGGTGACGGGGATGTGTCCTTATGATCGCAGCCCGAAGGAGACGTTCACGATTTAGATGCTGTATCGAGTTGTCAATGATGATGTCCCAGTGATTGCGGCCCGTGTGCGGGAGATGTTCACGATTTCGCCGCGGTCACAAGTGTCGATGATGATGTCCCCGTGATTGCGGTCCGCGGCAGATGTTCATGATTTCACCACGGCCGCGAGTGTTGATGATGATGTCCCCGTGATCACGGTTCACGGGAGATGTTATTGATTTCGCCGCGGCTGGGGGTGTCAATGAGGACGTTCCCGTGATGGCTTCCCGAGTGGGATGTTTACGATTTCGGCACGGCCGCGGGTGACAATGATGAAGTCGTCATGATCGCAGTCCACGGGAGAGGTTTTTAACACGACTTTGCCACGATCGCAAGTTTCGATGATGATGTCCCCGTGATTGCGGCCCGTGGGAGATGTTCACGATTTTACTGCGGTCCCGGATAACTATGATGGCTTTGACTTGGCTTAGGAGAGATGTCCATGATTTCATCCAGGATCACGGGGGCCGATGATGATGTTCCCTTGATGTATAGGAGATAGTCACTATTACTTCCGCGATCGCAAGGAATTTTCACCACAGGGGGAGGGCCGCTCAAGTAATTTGGCCTAGGGCCGCAAGTACCCCAAATCCGGCACTGAATACAGTACTCCCCTTGTGGGTTTACTTCTTTAGAGGAAATAATTTTGCGTTTCAGTCACACATCACAATCCTCCCTCATATTACATATTTAACTAGGAAATACAACATTTTTTAAGGGCGCTCGATCAAAAAAATAATTTTCGGAATAGTAGTCTTGAATTAGGTACTAAATTATAAATTGAAATGTGATGTGCGGTTAGTTAATGATTGGCAAATAATCGGACTTGCAGAGCTTGAAAGTGGTCATTTTATCAAATTCTGGTACGAAGGGGGGCTGAACTATAGACCCCTACAAAATTAATCATTTTCAGTTGTGCTTATAAGTTATGCTTAAGAAGATTATTATAATGCCATCCCGAGATTTCAAAAAAAATTAATAAGTTTGTCACTTTGAAATAAAATTAAAAAGACTGGTATACAAATGTAGTTAATGAGAAATGTGTCTCACTAAATACATACGATGAAATATCCACAGTTGAATAGTAATAAGAAACTTAATAAACAATTAGTTGGATAATATTTAAATAAATTTCCCCCCCTGTAACAGTGAGTTTTTCCTTCTTAATTTCGCCTAAAAGCTACCTACTATATTACATTTTTTGAATTATGCATGTCCTATTAAGTAGGTAAGCAAACTATTTGTACAATTTCTTTTATTTACATCTATAATCCATATATTTCATTTAATTTTGTTTTGATTTGTTTCAACATTATTTGAATGATACAAAAAAATCTTCTTTGGATAAAAAACAATTTTTAATATTATAGTCTGCAAAAAAGCACTGATACGTGGTAGTTACGTCTTAGTTACTTCCTAGATAATTAAATAAACTACCTATTATCCACCAAGATTTAAATTTTTTGTTTGACACTTTTATATTGCAAATGTATGCAATAAAGGCGTAAAAAGATAATTTTAATCTAGAAATATAATAACATACAAATTGAAAAAAGGCAATAAAATTCACAGTTTAAAACGTACTTTCGTACGCAATGAAAAGAAGAGAACAAACTATAACGATCGAGTAAATAACACGAGCTCATATTATACGCCCCGTGCTTCGCAACGGGAAGTGATAACAAAACGAGTCTATAGATATAGTTCTGCTGTAAGGAATATAGGCCCTAGTTACACTTTACACATGTATTATTCATTTAGAAACAATACTTCATTTTACAACATGTTATAGCATATTTGTTATATGTTATGTGTTATATGTTATAACATTCTGTTCTTCATAAAAGGGGTCAAAATTTTCTAGACAACTAAAGTATTACACAACTACAGTATTACAGTATGTACACCAACACACTGATGTTATTACAAAAAATGTAACTCTATGATTTATATGTAAAGATGAAGTTATTTAGAAGTGCAGACCTAATTACTTTTAAAACCCTACAAACATTTTATATAAATAGATCCAAAATAATCTAACAACATTCTGTACCATGGTGTTTTCTCGGTCCCCAAAATTGACGATGGCAGCTGGCATGGACAGCAATACGTAGCATTCGGCCTCCAATAACGTTTCACGAATACTAGAAAAATACCGGTATGGATCATAAACATAAACAAATGACGTTTTTGGCCCGAAAATAAACATTATTTAACATTGCTTAAATGGAACTGCCAAAACATATGTTCAATGCTATTAGTATAGGATTCGGGCAACAACGTCATTTGGTTATGTTTATGATCCATACCGGTATTTTTCTAGTAATCGTGACAAGTTTGTAAAATGGCTAGACATCGTAGTGTGGCGAAAATAACTATTTATTTTAATTCTTCAATTTTAGTTGAAAGCCTCTTTACATGTGGTGTTTTATATTAGTGACAAAAAACTGTGAGCAATATTCTACAAACCTTTTCCAAACTACCTTTTTTAGCGAATTTCCCTATAGGGAAGTAACTATTACCGTAGGTGGCACGGTAAGTCCTAGGTCCGGACCGATTTACTTTTTAATTTTGATGTCCCCAGAGGCCAAAAACACCATTCGTCCAGATTTTTGTATATGTATATATATATGTGTGTGTGTCCGTGAACGCGAGAACTGGAGTAATTTTAGTCCGATTTTGATGAAATTTGGTTTAAAAAATGTGTAAGGCAGGATAGCCTAAACTTGAAAGAGTTCGCGAACCAGAATGATCGGGCCATGGGAACAGGGTTTTACGTGGTAAAAATTGGGTTTTCTCACTTTTGGTCCTCAAAACAAAAAAAAAACTTCCAATTTCTCTCTAGACCTTTTTAAAGAGCTTAAAAAAATTATTTAGTACCGTATTTCAAAGCTGTTTTGTACGTTTATTGGTAACGGAGAAAATTAAAAAATCGTAAATTTAAAATTCCCATGTTATTCTTATGGAGGACATTGTAAAATGTTGTAGTTTGCTTGTTTATGGATATATCTTTACCAAACTTGGCATTTTATATATATATTCTAAGCTATTAATACTTTGCTAAAAAACACACTTTATTAGTTTCCTTGTAGCAGCAGACCTAGGTACGCGTTAAATCTAATCTATATATTTAATACGCTAGGCATATTTTTGTCATAATTGTTTTGGAGTGGTGGTGCTACCGATCACCATGTTCAAGTTGTCGTTAGAAAGGTCTTAGCATGTAGTTTTGCCATCAAACAAAAAAACTTTGGAATTCCATCAGGGCTCTGCCTCAGTGGCCTTCAAAGTTTCCATGTTATTCTTAGGGAGAAAATGTTTGTTTATATTTGAACAGATGAATACTTTCAAATTGACATTAATATTTGAAACAGAGGGTTATACTAAAATTTTGCACAAAATCCAAACATAACCAAAAAACGTTCGACATAATGGAGACTATAAGACGTCGACCAGGACGGCCAATAGGAGGAAGCCGACGAACATTAACTCGTAGACGCGAACGAAATACAAATAATACTATTGTCGTTGATAGCCGAATACAGCAAGGACCCTTCCATGCTGGGTTTGAGGGCGGAATTCATGCACGTTCCTTAACCCATTCCTTGTTCTTTTGTTGGTAAGGAACAAGGAATAGGTTAAGGAACGTTCATGAATTCCGCTCTAAGTGTGCTCTCCAGTCTCCAACAGTCGCCAGAGGACAGTCGCTCTCCACATTCAATTTAGGACTGTTGGATAATCGCTGCATAAGCTGTTCATTTTGGAAGACAAGGAGGAGGGTTGGACTAATTTGAAAACAGAAGAGAGGAGATATTAGATGAGTGGCAAATGCGTTGGGAGCAGAGTGTTCTATGTTAAAATTTTAAAGGTAAACGTTCGTATTTATACCTAACATCAGAAAGAGACTGGTTTGTCACAGGACATGAAAATTTCAAGGCGATTTTGTGAAAATTTCACCAGGTGGAAGAGGAAGTATGTAGATGTGGAGAAATAAAAACCACGAGTCACGTATTTATAAATTGCTCACTTCAGGAGACAAATAGGTGAGAACAGGAATATGTCTTGGATAAGATAGGTCTAGAGATGAGAAAATAAAACATGATGAGTGACAAGGAAGCAATTGAGACGTTTAGAAAAGTAGCTAGGGAAATAGGAAAAGACGAAGGATACATACAGGCATTAAAATAAAAAAAACAAAAACGAATCAGACAAAAACTAAGAAAGAAAAGGTATGAAAACTTGCCCATGAATGGGGAGAGGAAAGGTTAGAGCGAATCTCAATGATCCCTATCGCTCAGGGCGGTATGGGGAAGAAAGTCGTGCTGGCTTTTGGACACACAATGTGTCTGGAAACCCAATGCAGCTATGAGTAAGGATATTTTGGTAAAAAACACTATTTATAATAAATGTTGATTATATCGATCTATTATGTACATCTTTAGTATTTCCATAATCTTTGAGTCAAATATTTTAAAGTCATCAGAAATTATGACTGTTATTCGTTTTAAAATAACACCTGTAATACTTAGTAATTGCTCGAATTCGAGCAACAGGTACACTAGTGTTGTTTAAATAGATTTAATTTAAAATCAATTAAGACAAATGGAAATTCGCTTTGTCGGCAGGTTTGCTGTGGTGGGGGTATTTTACTAAACATAAACCTCCTTCTAAATAGTACACAAATTTCCACAATGTAAATAAAGTACCAAAACCCCATTTTCCCTACAGTAGTCTACCTGACAAAGCGGGTTTCCATTGCACTGATTATAACACGCAATGTAGTTAACTGCTGAATTTACTTACTTTTGTCACACCGCACTCCAGTATTCCAAGCAAACAACACAAACCAGTGAAAGATGTAATTTTATTAGGCACGTAATATGCATACTCTTGAACAATAAGATGGCAACACTTTTAGATACTACGACTACTATCAGCTGGTGCAGTTTTTCCCATTTCGATCAACGCTTGTGTAACACAAGTTGTGTTTAACCATGGTTTAACCTAACCTAAGAACAAGAACGTGTTTGAAAGAAGAATTATTTACAGTATATATGCTTTATAGTAACTGTATGAAAAATATAATTGTAACATGAAACACGAGCGCAAAGTGCCACTTCGAACACCAGTTACACAAATGACTGTTGCGAGTAAATAAACAAACGCCAGTTAGTTGCAGTGTGTCCAACTGTTGACATAATTTATAGGCTATATAAACTATCAAACCCACCGTGGCTTCGCTCAAGAAAATTTAAATTAAAAATTTAAATGTCTAATCTGATATGCCAACAAATACTGTAATTAGAATTTCATTTACAAACTGCCCTTCCACCAAGAGCTTCGGACTACTCTGTCTGAAACTACCTACAAAATATGTTTTTGGCCAGCATACTATCCCCGCTGTATCTATTTTCAGTTATGTAAATATTTAGACCTAGTCTTTCAATAGTACAGTCAGTTCTTCCATAACTTTATTCTGAAACATTATGTATCTTAAAATAACGTAAAGTAATATAAAACCTTGCACGATGTTTTATTGTGGTTCTTAAAACCATCAAAGGTCCTAAACAGTTGCAGGTTTACAGCAAAGTTCAATGTTTTCACCAATCGCGTTTTTATGTGTTTGAATGTACATGTACAGTGTACACATAAAATTGCGTCTATAAAATTCAAGTTCTTAAAACAGCTACCTAGGGATAGAAAAAAAAAATACATTATTGCCTTTGGTTTACAGTCTGTCATGATATCAAATTCGTCACCAACTCATTTGACATAGTGTTTTATACTGCAAATCATTATTTAAAAAATAAGTAATCAATAATCTACACCAACAATCTCAATTTTGTATGTTTTGGTTTTCAGAAAAGTATCCAGAAATCAAGAAACTGTTTGGTTATGACCCGAATTTCAAATGGATTGTAACAGCAATGGTGTTAACTCAATTTGCAATGTTCTTTGTAATGAAGGACCAATCGTGGTTAATGATATTCTTGGTGGCTTATTGCTTCGGTGGCGTCATCAACCATTCTCTTATGTTAGGTAAGAAAAGGCATATATAACTTACCTGGTCATTTATTTATATAATTTGTATCGTATATTATTGTTTAAACACATTGCTGTGACTGTATTATGGTAAAACTGTGTTTTTAGGATTCAAATTCATGTCTAACACAAAACACATTTCTTAGTAAAAAAAATCAAACCAATTAAGAGAAAGGGTGAAGTATTCGTATTTGGTATTAGCATCGAACAATAATTTTGTATTTTTCCCGTTGCTTTATATTACTTTTGTGAAAATAATTAACACAATCGACCCAGACCTAGTGACATGCACTGCATTGGACGCAGTGTGATCAAAAAGGAACTGATCCAATGTTCCGATTTGACGAGGATCAGATAACACAGTCGTAAAAATCAATGGCAAAAATATACTAACCTTAATTTTTCAATTTTTAACCATTTTGAACGTTTTTTTTTTGTAAATTAAAAGGAGTAAAAGGAGTTAAGTTTATTGAATATGGGAAAATGTTTGTGTTTTGCGCAGCTTCAGTTGAAGAAGTAGGCCTAAGTATAGTTAAGTTTTAAAGTTTTTAGCGAATTTCCCTATAGGGAAGTAGCTATTACCGTAGGTCTCATGGTAAGACTTAGGCCCGGGACCGATTTACTTTTTCATTTTGATGTCCCCAGAGGCCAAAAACACCATTCGTTCAAATTTTTATATATGTATATATATATATATATAGATATATATATATATATAGATTTATATATATATGTGTCCGTGAACACGATAACTTGAGTAATTTTTATCCGATTTTGATGAAATTTGGTTTGAAGGTGTAAGGCGGGATAAACTTGAATGAGTTCGCGATCCAGCATGATCGGACCATGGGAACAGGGTTTTATGAGGGGTTTTATGGGGTAAAAATTGGTTTTTCTCACTTTTGACCCTCAAAACACAAAATTTCCCAATTTTTATCTAAACCTTCTTAAAGAGCTTAAAAAAACAAACAATTCAGTATATCAAAGTGTTTTTGTACGGTTATTGGTTACGGAGAAAACTAAAAAAATTTTAAATTTAAAATTCCCATGTTATTCTTATGGAGAATATTGTAAAATGTTGTAGTTTGCTTGTTTATGGATATCTTTTGTTCAAACTTGGCAAATATATTCATTTTTTACTAAGCAATAATTATTTTACTTAAAACACACACTTTATTAGTTTCCTTGTAGCAGCAAACCTAGGTACTCTTTAAACCTAATGTTATTTAAATAGATCGATTGAAAATCAATTCAGCCAAATGGAAATTCGCTTAGCCGGCAGACTTGCTGCGGCGGGGGTATTTTTAAGTTGTAAGTACATTTTAAGAATAGGCCTAATGTTATTTATATTAGTTGTAGCAAAGATTACATATGCATATGTAATCTTTGGTTGTAGGTATAAATTTCGTTATATACAAGAGAGGACCCAGCCCCCCTGAGAAGAATTTGGGGATAAAGTATGTTAAATTATTCTTTTTGTCAGATTTAAAGATTCGTACAATCTCATTAATCTTAAAAGCGCTCTGGAAAGCCTCAAACGTAGTATTTAGTGCATGTCTAAACATTTTCTGGGGAAGGATTCTTGGAGGATTCTACTCCTATCCCCAGACCCCCAGGTACACCTCTACTGCATTCACCCCTTGCAAATATCCACATTTGCTGTTATATTGAACTTATGGTCAAAATCCGTCATCTGTTCGCAACTCCTAATTATTTTACTATTTATTACCAACTGTACGAAACGGTATTTTTTGTAATGGATTGATGTTTCAACTGAAATATAAGCTTTTTAATGTATCGCGGTTGATATTGTTGCCCCCCTTATCATATCTTTCCCATACGGTTCGGGTTCGCCGAACGCTTGCCAGTGAAACCCGGCGACTCTGTCACAACAAAGAGATAACGATTCATATCAGTTCTCCGTCGTAGTGGTGGGAGGGCTGGAACTGCACTCACGGTCAGTTCCTGGTCCTAATCCAACTACGGAACTGCACTCACGGTCACTTTGAGCCTTTCTGGGGGTACCGGAACTGCACTCACGGCAAGTTTTTAATTAGCCTATATCACATTGTGCAACACCGTGATTGAATTGATTAAAACTTATTAAATTAGTAAATATATTGAAAAGTTTTGATTAAATTAATCCAAAAGTAAAAAAATAAACTTACTACTGACATTGTAAAAAATACACATATATATGTGCACAGAAAATTCTAGCATAGTATTTACGATAACATGATAGGCTATATTCTTATTATAACGAAGCTTCTTTTGTAAAGGTTAGGTTAGGTTATTTATTGTTGTATTTATTGGGACAGACACTAAATGTGTATTAAATAAAGTATTGGATAAAGTAAGACAGAGGACGGAATAAACAGATGACTAAGGGGCTAGCGAAGTGTTCAGCCGTGAAAGACCGATTTTTGACCGTGAGTGCAGTTCCATTTGGCTTAGGTGGGCTACCCTTCCAACCCTTGTAAATTCATTTGACCGTGAGTGCAGTTCGTTGTCAGCCGTAGTGGTGTGTATATTCTGAATAGAGTTGCCTTTAAATATGTTTGAACTTCGAGTGGTGAAAGAGTAAACTACTTCCTGAAAGTGAAAGAGAATAACGAACTTAATTATAGATGGAAACTAAAAAAGGAACTCAAAATAGGTTATTTTGTTTAGTACACTTCACTTGAAAAAGTAATTATGAACGGGACAGTTGATCGTCTCTGTAGCACATAGGATTACATAAAATCTGAGTCTAAGCGTATTTTAATTAGGCATATTCTGTGTTATGTTTCAGCCATTCATGAAATTGCTCACAACTTAGCCTTTGGGCATTCAAGGCCATTAGCAAACAGGTTGTTGGGAATCTTTGCCAATTTACCAATTGGATTTCCATTTTCAGTAATATTTAGAGGATACCATCTTGAACATCATAAGGTAACATAATCGCTATTCTTCTATATAAATAATTAATTTGGATCGGGTTATTTGGTGAACAGAGCTCCAGAACTCCTACAGTTTTGAGCCGATTTTGAAATAGCAGGCAAAGGATCTAAATATTTATTTTCATCCATCTGTTAAAACCTTGACCTTGTATGAAAATAGCCCATTTCCATACAGCTGAGATCTTCGCAAATCGTCAATTTCCATACACCAAAATCAAATAGTGATCAGCTGACTTTTCCTGAAATAAACATTACTTTCGCTACACGACGAGGAGTAATCAAAACCGGCCTTTTTCCTAAAATCCCATTTTTGTTATTCTTTTGTTTTTTTTTTATTATAGGAAAATAACATATGTGACAATAACTTTTGAACCGTAATTTTTACCGAAATGGGTTTTGTACAATTTTGTTCAAAATTTTAAGGACCACAACATACTAATTTTAATCGAAACCGGGTTTTTCCTATAATCCGAATTTTTGTTATGTTATGGGGGTTTTATGGGGAAATCACCATAAAAATCCCATTAAAAATCACAATTACAAAAAATTAAAAAAATTCCTATAGATACCATGGATTGGTACCTACATACCAAATTTCATCAAAATCGGACTACAGGTGTGGTCTGTAGGTACACATCCACACATACAGACGCGCACACACACATAGGCTACGGCCACACGGGCGTTTTTTCACGCAAGAACGCAGCGTGAAAAAACGCGAGAAATATGGGCAGCATTAAATGTAATGAGGTATGCCACACCACAGAAAACGTACTACTATAACCCAGAATGCCAACCGCATGGTAAAAAGCATTAAGCGTTTTGAGAGAGCTTTGCCTGTCAATCCGTAGGCAGCGCCACCAGCGTTGCCATGCAATAGCTGGTTATAGTAGTACGTTGTCTGTGGCCACACGGAGTGTGTTTTCACGCAGATTCGGCGCGTCTTCAAAGTCGACCGCCGCGGGACCGCAGAAGAATGGACTGGGGTGCATTTTAGAAGCTTGTTTTCACGCTCTGTCCCTGGCCACACGGGCGGGAGCAACACGCAGCTTTGATCAAGTCGTCCTAGCAAGTTAAAATAAATATAAATGTATCTAATTTTGTCCAGGATAGCGTAAAATATTTTTGGGTCTAGCCAATTACACAGTAGACCTACACGTTTTATCTTAAACATAGGTCGACTTTACTGGACCACTTAATAATTTGTTACTAAAAGTAAAGGCATTTAGTTGGACTAAAAAATTTAAAGAGGCATTTATGTAGTAGAATATTCAAAGATCTGATGAAAATCTTGTCATAATAATATTTAGATTATATTTATTTTTTTTACTAAATTTCAAAATAAAATAATGTTAGTGTTGTTTTTGTATCGAAATTAATCTAAATATATAAAAGGCAAAGCCCTCACTGACTGACTCACTCACTCACTCATCACTAATTCTCCCACTTCCCATTTACCTAGGAGCATTAGGAGGCTGAAATTCGATACACCGATTCTTTGGGCATTAAATAGGAAAACTAAGTAGTTTTTATTCTGATCGGGCTTTCGGGCTCCGCCCCAGTGGCTCTGGAGTTTCCCATGTTAACCTTATGATTTTTCATATTTAAAAGGAATTTCTTAACAGCCGTTTCAATTAAACAAGTTGGTTCTGTTCTATGATGTTCAATAGCATTAAAGTTACAAGGGTTACCAACAGGGTGCAGCACTATTATTTTTTTAAATTTATGACTACAGCCAATTTGCAACCGAAAGGTGAGTGAGCGTAGCGAACGAACTTTAACCTTGTGAAGTTAAACGGGGCAAAGCCCGCGGATACAGCTAGTATATTATTTTCATTTTTTAAAACTAAATGTAAATAATTAAATGAAAGGTTAACAAAATAAAATAATTTTAGTATTGTTTTCGTATCGAAATCAATATACCATTCATATTTCTTTTTCACTAGTCAGAAACAAGGTTACTATTCCGGCCATGAGGAAGATATAACATAGTTACGTGAATTCGTCAATCAACTGCGGGTTCCCACTGCATTTTGCGGTGGGGCACACGGAAGATTTCTCAGGTGCCGTTTGACGTCACTAACTGCTGCGTCTGAAGAAACAATTTTATAATTTTCTATTATTAAATTAAACTGTCATAACCTAACCAAACCTGCTGATAATGGAAAAATCGAATAAAGGTTTGTTTACTATCTAAAAAAATAGTTTTGTTCATAAAATAAAATTATAATTGCCTTAAATTTAATTTTATAATTTTTTAATTATAAAATTAAACTGTCATAACCTAACCAAACCAACCAAACTTGCTGATGTGAAAAAACTTTGATAAAAGGTTAGTGCCGTCGAAGGGATTCGAACCCGGAACATTTGGATTATCAGCCCATAACGCTATCCTCTACACCACTGAGGCAGATGGCTCAAATCTGTATCGTTGCGGTATTGGTGTTCCCTCAAAGTGACGTCAGCAGTTAGTGACGTCAAACGGCACCTGAGAAATCTTCCGTGTGCCGTTTCGCTGCATTTTGCCACTCCTGAACTTCAACCGGCGTGAAAATAAGCTACATTTTACCGCATGAAAAAACGCCCGTGTGGCCGTATCCTAAGAATAAGCTACTGGGTGAAAACCCGCACGTGTGGCATACAACAGCAGGAATTCAAGCAGCGTGAAAATAAGCCACATTTTACTGCGTGAAAAAACGCCCGTGTGGCCGTAGCCATAGACATCACTTCGAAAACCACCTTTTTGGGTTTAGGGGAACCCAAACCGGATATATCCACTCAAAACTCAAACTCGAAAATTTTGATGAAAACAATACTATTGTAATGGGTCAAAATTATAGAGGGGTTAAAATTTTAAATTTATTATTTAATTATCGGTAGGCCTATACCTTACCTGGTTGGTGACAGTGGTAAACCTATCATGGTAAGGTAAATAAATAGGCTATTTTTAACCGACTTCCCCACTACCAACAAAAGGAGGAGGTTCTCAATTTGTTTGTGGCGATGTTTTTTTTTCTATGTATGTTCACCAATTTCTCTGTGATTCTTTTACCGATCAGTGTGGTTCCACCACCAAAATAACCAGGAGAGTTTCTATTAGGTACCTTATATATTATGTTTAAGTATAATATTTGTTTCGGTGAAAAATTCTGAAAACCTTAAATATTCAACATTGATTTTGTTTACATTTGTGCAGATTGTTTACATTTGTGCAGAGAAGGCAATAAATAATAATAACATTCCTACAGCTGTTAGTTGAAACCATTTAAATGAAGCTACAGACAATTCTTCTTGAAACAGTTGCTTCAAATTGATCAATAAAATATTTCTTGACATGGAGCCTAAATGAAATTACATTGAGAAAAATGCATTTTGTTTAGGTTACTATAAAACATGTATTTTAACGTTTGGCCTGATTTGTGTATACAGTAATTCTGTTTTTAGTATTGAATATTCTGACTTACAAAAACATATATGTTTCAGTGAATAGCTGTATGATATTGACAAATAAAGGTGTTTTGTAAAAACCAAAGCATTCGTAAAACAGGTCTAAATATAAATTAAATGCAATTATTCCTTACACGACCTAAGAAGTGTGACAGTGCATAATCGTCAATTGTCTTAAAAGTGTTAAATATTTTAATTACTAAACATGCATTTGCAGTTGTGGAATGTTTATTGATATTCTCTACCCAGTTACTATATCATATCAATACTATTATGCCTGCTTCGGAAAGTCCTAGAGGAAGATGATTTGCAATTTCGACTAGGCTATATCTTGAGCAAACAAAACCCCCATACATGACTTACACCACTTTTAGCTGAACCAATCTTTCATATAATATTTTCCAAAGGTACTATACGTGTTAACGACCAATTTTCCACTTTTGAGAGTTTTTTTAGTGCTGGTAGCTGAGGAATAACTTTCATATTGTTCCAAAAGACTTGAGACGTTACTGTATTTCTTTTTATAATGTAGAAATACACCGATTGCAGGAAACGATGATGTCTGACATTTCAATGTATCTAGAAAAGACAATTAGTTTTTTACTTACTCTTTCTTTCTTAAGGAATATCTAAAAATGTTTATTTTCATACCCATTGATTATGTAACCTGAACAGGTGACTCAAGCAGTTTTTAAATAATGATTGTTCTGTGGAACTTTTGATTGTTTCAAAAAGTTTTGCTTGTTAAAAAACCTCAAGTAATTAATATATCACTATAATAATATAATATGTCACTAAAAATCATAAAATAATTTATTTTTGTAAAAAAATACAACCGACTTCAAACGCTCTAAAAAGAATGAAATAATTTCAATAAAGTAAACTTTTGTATTAGGCAAGCTCACTTATTTCAAGTCGGCGCTCAAACTGCAAATTGAAATTAAATATTGTGTGTGTATTTTGAAAATCAATAAATTGTAGCTGGATAACATAAATATATAAAAAACACACTGAACTGATTTGTTTATATATTAAAGGAAATATTTTCTTGTGTTTTATGTTTACTTCAGAATAAATGCATTATGAAAATAACACACACAAATGTTCTATATGGATAGGAAAATAATTTAGTTTGATATTATGATAGGGAAAAGAAGCTAGTTTAGTATTAAAACGTTACTTTTCCAAGTTAGAAACATTTAAATGCGTTATAATCTTTTTAAAGATACTCGTTAATACCACTATAATGCCGATCTCTGATTACGGTAATAAAATAACACTTAACGCATAACTATGAAAAAGACATGCAGATTAACACCTTTAGTTATAGTCACATGCAATATGGACACCCTCTTTCAATTTTGTATCAAAAATCATCATAGAGCCGCGCCGACTTAAAATACGTGAGCTTGCCTAATACAAAAGTTTACTTTATTGAAATTATTTCATTCTTTTTAGAGCGTTTGAAGTCGGTTGTATTTTTTTACAAAAATAAATTATAGTCATATCCTAGGGTTGAGTAGGGATAACCTCACTTTTGGCAAA